TCACGGATAAGTGAATCACTGACCGTGGATTAGTCAGTGTTGAGATCCTCTTTCTCTCAACACTGGATACCACGTAAAAATTGGCTGTGTCATTGTTTACTCTGTTTTGTGGTGTCTGCATATTTTGATTCTGTTCGTGTTTTGCTCCTCACCAAAACTAGTCTATTGAGTTGGTTTGATCGAAGAAATCCCAAAGAAAGCTCCTGGTAGGTGTTTAAATAAACGACAGCGTTTGGTTTAGTGGCTAGGTTTAAACAGACGGTTTCAGGAGGGGTTTTAGGAGGGCTGGCAAGGAAAACGAGTTTATTAAAATTGTGGGCCTTTACCCTTAAACCAAAGCCCATTAGTCTATATCAATTATACACGTGAGAAGTAACAAGAAGTTGAGTGAAAGTCCAGGTTATCAGATCAACTATTGTTTTCCTTTTTCTTCTAACCATCTTCGGAAGAAACCTAGAAACTTGCAGATATCCGAATTCACCAAATTGCAGGTGAAGAACTCCAATTCGGAAGAAGAAGAAGGCGCGCGCCACAGGACCTACAAGTGGTATCAGAGCAAGGTCGCCGTAGAAGAAGGTTCTGCAACCTCCGGCGGAATCCAAAATGGCGTCGGGCTCGGGAACCAATGCTCCACTCTACCTAGCAGATGGGTTTTCACAAAATCGACCTCCGAGGTTCGAAGGGGTCAATTATGGGTACTGGAAAAACCGTATGGAGCTGTTCATCGGATCAACAGATCCTAAACTATGGGCAAGGGTAACGAAGGGTCCATATGAACTAAAAGCGGATCAAGAAAAGTGGACAGATGAAGACTATGAGAGATTCCAGCAGAATTGTAAGGCAACCAATCTTATGTACTGTGCCCTAGGTCTAGAAGAATATCACAAGGTAGCAGGGTGCAAGACAGCAAAGGAGATATGGGATAAATTACAAGTCACGTATGAGGGCACGTCTCAAGTCAAGACCTCACGGGTTAATTCTCTGAAGCAACAGTTCGAGCTTTTCAAAATGGAGGAAGGCGAAACCATCAGACAAATGTATGATAGATTTACCAACATCGTCAACAGTCTGGAAAACTTGGGGAAGTCTTATGAAAGTGGTGATCTGGTAAGAAAGATATTGTGGGGATTACCTGAGAAATGGACTCCCAAAGTTACGGCGATCAAAGAAGCCAAGAACTTGGAGACTCTACCCATCGATGAGCTCATTGGTTCACTTGCAACACATGAAGATAAGCTTAGCAGGAACAATGGTGAGAAGATGGCTGGAGACAAAGGAAAAAGAGGAATCGCCTTCAAAGCTACCCTAAATGACGACTCTGAAGAGCTTGAAGATATGGAGGATGAAGAACTTGCTCTGCTTAGCAAGCAGATTAGTAGGCTACTGCGAATGAGAAAAGAGAAGAGAAGAGGAAACTTCGTGAGCAAGAACCGCGACATGGAAAAGGAAGGAGCAACCAGATTTGGTCAGCTCAAATCTAATTTCAGAAGTCGAAATGAGCAGATTCAAGGTGCTAAAAGCACTAACTCAGCAGGTTGTTTCAAGTGTGGAAGATCTGGACACATCAAGGCCGAGTGTCCTCAATTGAGAAAGGAACGTGCAATGGCAGCTACGTGGAGTGGAAGTGAAGAGGAAGATGATGATGAGGAACTACATGAAGAGATCTATATGGCACTCGATGATCAATCCGAGTTTGATAACCGACATCAAACAAGTGAGGTAAGTATTCTAAATTCTGACACATATAGTGAGATAGAATATTACAGTGATGATGATCAATTAACTACAACCATAAAAGAGATACAAGCAGAGTTTGGGAACGTCAAAGTAAAATACTCTCAATTAAAAAGGGACTACCTCAAATTAACGAATGAGCATGAAACTCTTAGAAGGAAAATGATTGAGCAAGATAGTGATAATATCAGACTCAGGAAAGAATGTGAGGATTTAAGAAAGGAGTCAGCTGAATTAACCTTGTGTCTAGCAAACTTAACTGATCAAAATGAAAAACTGGTTACTCAGGTTAAGGACTCTATGAAATACAACAACAGTGTGAACGAAGTGTCAGTTAATCAGGATCGGAACTGGAACAGAGTAGTAACAAGACCTCAAAAGATGGGAGTTCATAGATCTAGTGAATGCAATTATTGTCATAGGACAGGACATGAAATTAAAATGTGTAAAAAGAGGTTATCTCTAATCTGCTATACATGTCATAAGAAAGGTCACATTAGTAGGTTTTGTACAAATCACCAAGACAAACGGGTATCCAAGCAAGTCTGGATACCAAAAACCAAATGACTGCTTTTTGTGCAGAAATGTCTCCAAGTGAGCATGGAGACTTCAGAATGGGTATTGGATAGTGGGTGCTCACACCACATGACCGGTAACAAGAAACTCTTCTCGACCTTCACGACAGGTAAGTCAGGTAAGGTATTCTTTGGGGATAACAATCATGCTTACATTCTAGGAAAAGGCAACATAGGGTCTGGTCCCTCTATAAAAAACGTATTGCTGGTGGAGGGATTAAAACATAATCTCTTGTCCATTAGTCAAATGTGTGGTCAAGGTAAGAGGGTTGTGTTTGAGGCTGAATGCTGCTATGTAGAGTCAATTCAAGATAAAAAGGTGTTATTCTCTGGAAATCGAAAAGGAAAAATATATGTTTTGAACATCAATGATAAACCAGATGAGATATGCTTGATGACTCACGATAAAGGGGATCAAGCCCTTTGGCATAGAAAATTGGGCCATGTTAGTATAGGAATTCTATCAAAACTATCAAACCTAGAACTAGTAAGAGGGCTTCCCGGATTGAAAGGTACAAAGGAATTCTTTTGCGATGCTTATGCTAAAGGTAAACATACACGATCAAGTTTCAAGAGCAAGGCTGTAATCTCTACAAATAGACCTCTAGAACTGATTCACATTGATCTGTTTGGCCCTGCTAATATTCGTAGTTATGGTGGGAAGCATTATGCTTTTGTTATTGTAGATGACTATACTAGGTTCACCTGGGTGTATTTTCTGGCATCCAAGGACGAGGCTTTTCAGAACTTTAAAACCTACTCCAGAAAAGTTGAAAATGAAAAGCAACTCAGGATAGGTAGTGTCAGAAGCGATCATGGGGGGGAATTCATATCTGAATCTTTTGAGAAGTTTTGTGATGAAGCTAGGATTTCTCACAACTTCTCTGCACCTAGGACTCCCCAACAGAATGGAGTTGTGGAGAGAAAAAATAGAACCTTGATTGAGATTGGTAGAACCATGCTTAATGATTATGCTTTACCTAAACATTTCTGGGCAGAAGCAATTAATACAGCCTGCTACATTACAAATAGAGCCTTGATAAGATCTGTCCTTAAGAAAACACCCTATGAACTGTGGAAAGGGAGGAAACCTAATATAAGTTATTTTCGCCCCTTCGGGTGTAAATGCTTTGTCCTTAATACCAAAGACCTTCTAGGGAAGTTTGATGCAAAATCCGACGAAGCAATCTTTCTTGGTTATTCTAATCATAGCAAGGCTTATAGAGTTTTTAACAAACGAACTCTCAAGGTTGAAGAGTCTATCAATGTGATGTTTGATGAATCCTTTGATGAGTGCACAGAACAGGTTGATGATGATGATTTTGGACTAGATAGGAAGCAGGTGGTGGCTGCCCCTACAGAGAACTCAGAACCAGTGCTGCAGCAAGAAGTAACTGAGGCAGAATCTACAAACGACAAGGAAAGGGAGGCAGCAGGTTCTGAATCTCAGGAAGGTACAAAGGTTGGAACAGAAACAGGCTTTCAACCACCTCCTCACATCAGCAAACGGCATCCAGCATCCCTTGTGATAGGGAACATGGACCAAGGTATGTTGACTCGTTCCAAAACTCATTATGTGCACGTTGCTTTCGTTTCCTTAATAGAACCTAAAAGCATAACAGAAGCCTTGCAAGATGAATTTTGGAATGGTGCAATGCATGAAGAATTAGGTCAATTTATCAGGGCAAACGTGTGGGAATTAGTACCCAGACCTATTAATAGGACAATTATTGGTACCAAATGGATTTATAAGAACAAGACAGATGAAGAGGGTGACGTTTTCAGGAACAAAGCTAGGTTAGTTGCCAAAGGTTATAATCAGGAAGAGGGGATTGATTTCGATGAAACATTCGCTCCAGTAGCTCGGTTAGAGGCAATCCGATTGTTGTGTGCTTTTGCTAGTGCCAGGGGTTTTAAACTGTTTCAAATGGACGTTAAGAGTGCGTTCTTAAATGGGGATTTAAAAGAAGAAGTCTTTGTGGAACAACCTCCTGGTTTTGAGGATCCCAAATTTCCGAACCACGTATATAAACTGAAAAAGGCTTTGTATGGTTTAAAACAAGCCCCTAGGGCTTGGTATGATAAGTTGAGCAGCTTTTTGATAAGTGAAGGGTTCAAAAGAGGCTCTGTTGACAAGACCTTGTTCATTAAGACAAACGAATCAGATATTCTGCTAGTGCAAGTTTATGTAGATGACATAGTGTTTGGATCTACAAGTCAACGAATGTGTCGTGAGTTTGAAACGTGCATGAAAAACAATTTTGAAATGAGCCTTATGGGTGAGTTAACCTACTTTCTTGGTCTGCAAGTTAGACAGTCTACTCTAGGAACATTTCTGTGTCAGTCAAAATATCTGAACTCCATGTTAAACCGTTTTGATCTTGGAAACCTAAAAACCGCCATTACCCCTATGTCCTCCACTGCTAAATTGGATAAAGATGAGTCTGGTAAACCTGTTTGTGAAAAATTATATAGAGGAATGATTGGGTCCTTACTGTATCTTACTGCAAGTCGACCTGACATTCAGTTTAGTGTATGCATGTGTGCAAGATTTCAAAATAGTCCTAAAGAAAGCCATCTTTCGGCTGTCAAAAGGATTTTTCGTTATCTAGCCGGTACTCCTGACCTTGGCTTGTGGTACTCTCGTGAATCCACTATAAATCTCTCAGGTTTTAGTGATTCAGACTTCGCTGGGTGCATAGTTGATAGAAAAAGCACCACTGGAACATGTCAGTTCCTCGGAAATTCACTTGTTTCGTGGTTTAGTAAGAAACAAGCTTCCGTAGCCTTGTCCACAGCAGAGGCTGAATATGTGGCAGCCGGCCTTTGCTGTACACAGCTACTTTGGTTAAAACATCAGCTTCTCGATTATGGTGTTCATCAAAAGACTCTTGTAGTCCTATGTGACAACACTAGTGCCATAAACATGGCCAAAAATCCTGTCCAGCATTCCAGAACTAAACACATAGACATCCGCTATCATTTCATTAGGGAGCTAGTTGAGGAGGGTCAAATTAGTCTCGAGTTTGTTCCTTCTACAAGTCAATGGGCTGACATTTTCACCAAGCCCTTAGGTTCTGAACCGTTTCTGCATATCCGCCGTGAACTAGGAATGTTCTCCAGGATCGAGATTGAAAATCTGCATTGAATGCTCCAGATCTTTCCTTGCTGAATTTACTACTCCTTCTCCTCTATGTCTTTTCCTCTACTCTTTCGCTCCAAGGCTACTCTTCTTACCTTTTATCTCAACCTCCAGATCTATTCTTGCCTTCCTTGAGCCTTTCCATATTTCCCTCCTGTAGTAACCTTCACGGTTCCCTCTCCTATATAAAGAAGCTCTCTCACCCTTCTCTGCTCATATCCACTCTTATCAAACTCTAGCTTAGCTCATTAAAAAAAAAACATGGATCACCCAAATCCTCATGTCAACCTTGCCTTGGTTCATGCTGCAATTTTCAATGGGAAGTGCTTCGCTAATGCTGAGGACTACTCTCGCTATCTGCTCAAGTTTCAAGATCGTCCTCTCTGTCCTTCGGTGTCTCTTGCACCCTCTGCGTTCAATAGGTATGACATGAACATTCCATCCTTGATCAATGCAATCGGCTGGACAGATGTGCTTATGGATCAGCACTTTGGGTTCTGTCCGGAAGCGGTGCGTATGTTCTACTCAAACATGAGGCCATGCTATAACACTCATCCTCCATCCTTTACCACGATCGTTTTCAATTTTCTGATCACTATCAATGTGAATCTGCTGTCTCAACTTCTCGGCATTCCTATCAATGGTGCTGAAGTCATGGATGAAACTGATTTCCAAGATGTTGGTTTTAACGAAGTGGCTGCCATCAGGACATATATGCATGACACGGGGCGATACTACCCGTCCGCTCTCTCCTCAGGAAGATTACCAGATGACCTCAAAGTTCTTCACTTCTACATCACTAGAGTTTTTCTGCCACGCTCTCATGGCCTGACTACTGTGTCTCCTTCTGATTTATGGATTATGGCCAGTGCTAAGGAGAACCGTGCCATTAGCTACCCCCATCTCATGTTCGATCATATGATGCGCTACCATGATGATAATTATGCTGAGGAACTTCCCTTTGCCCCCCAAATTACCTTGATGTTGCGCAGTCTTGGCATTGACCTTCGCTACAAGGTTTCCCGTGTGAATCTCATCGATCAGCTTCATGCTCAGTTCGTCCTTCGCAGGGTAGATGCATCTGTCGGTCGTCGTGGCCCCAGGGTCAATGTCCCAGGGGGAGACAGTGTTGCTGCTGATGAAGTTGTTCCTGCGCTAGAAGATGGTCTTAGCCTTGCGGATCTTGTTGAGGATAATTCTGATAAAGGGAAGCAGAAAGTAGTTCTCCATCACCTAGAGTTTATTCGTCAATCCTTCAATCGTGAAAATGAGGCTAGCACTAGTGGGCAGATTCCTGAGGAACCAGAAGGAAGCGAAGGGGACATTTCTGACTACATACCATCACCACCTTATCCCTTCTAAGTCAGCCCTAGGTTCAGGGGGAGTTAATAGATGAGTCAAGTTCAGGAAGAAAGCGTCATAGAGTCAGTTGGTTGGATGAGGTCCAGTGTCTTTACTTTCAATAAAGCTTAGCTTCTGCTGAGCATGAGTCAGTTTGATGTAGTTTGGCTTCAATATGTCTTTAATTATGGAATAAATAAAACTCCCTCTTCGGTTCACTCGTGGTACTTTCTGATATAATAAGAGTTGGAACAGTCTGCACGTAATCTGTGTGTTCAAGTGTGTGTAGGAACAACAGGTACATCAGATAAGGGCCATTGACCGGCTTAGGGGGAGATTGTTGTGCTCAAGCCAGTCAATAGGGAACGTGTAGTGCAAGAAAGGAAAGGAACGAGTAAGATGGAAATTCAAATCAAGGAGTTACCAAGTCTGAAGATCTCACAGCAAGGCGGAAACTTGATTGCAGCAACGGCTAGCTCTGAAATCAGTATAAAGCAGGGAAGGATTAGATTAGAGAAATACTTTTTGGGAAAATCAATCGATTGAAAAACTAGCAAGAGTATTGCAGTAATCAGATTGATAGAGAAGTGGTAGAGTGATCGGGGAGATTGCTTGAGTAGATCGACGGGGAGTTGATCTGGGTAAACGGGTTCATCAACGGGGAGTTGACTGCTGTTAGAATCTGATCAGTCTGTGAAGAGTGATCAGGGAGGCTCTGTATTTTGTCACTGCTCATCAAGAACATATCCTTAGTGCAACGTCAGTGATCACGGATAAGTGAATCACTGACCGTGGATTAGTCAGTGTTGAGATCCTCTTTCTCTCAACACTGGATACCACGTAAAAATTGGCTGTGTCATTGTTTACTCTGTTTTGTGGTGTCTGCATATTTTGATTCTGTTCGTGTTTTGCTCCTCACCAAAACTAGTCTATTGAGTTGGTTTGATCGAAGAAATCCCAAAGAAAGCTCCTGGTAGGTGTTTAAATAAACGACAACGTTTGGTTTAGTGGCTAGGTTTAAACAGACGGTTTCAGGAGGGGTTTTAGGAGGGCTGGCAAGGAAAACGAGTTTATTAAAATTGTGGGCCTTTACCCTTAAACCAAAGCCCATTAGTCTATATCAATTATACACGTGAGAAGTAACAAGAAGTTGAGTGAAAGTCCAGGTTATCAGATCAACTATTGTTTTCCTTTTTCTTCTAACCATCTTCGGAAGAAACCTAGAAACTTGCAGATATCCGAATTCACCAAATTGCAGGTGAAGAACTCCAATTCGGAAGAAGAAGAAGGCGCGCGCCACAGGACCTACAGGGCTTAGGGCGCGAACTTCGTGAGAAAGAAGCCGAGGAGAAACAGAGAGTTTCCCAAGGTAGAACACAACCGAAGTACAAAATGACCGCGAGGAAGTTCGTGACCGTGACTTGTGGATCGAGACCTCTAAGTCAACCCGCGAACTCCTCTTCTCCGAATGCAAAAACGGCAACGTCTCGAGATCGCGACCTCCTGAAGAAGATCGCGGCTGCGATCTCCACCCTTCATGCCTGCGATCTTCTCCGTCCTCTTATGCCTATAAATAGAAGACCCCTTTTCCGCATTCAAGAGAGCTTATTTTGAGATAGAATTTCAGGTTTTAGAGAGACAAGAGAGAGAAGTTAAAAGAAAGAGAAAATGAGAAGAAGAGGAGCCATCTTCGCCAACATCAAGTCATCTTCCACCTCTTCTATGTATCTTCTTCCCTCCTTTATGGAGTAGTCCTCTAATGTACTAGGGGTTCTAAACCTCAAACCCTAGTTTTAGGGTTATTATGTACATATGGATATTTTAGGGTTTTAATGAATGAATGTGTTTATCTAGTTGATTTGCATGCTATTCTATCTTGATTGTGTTTGGGTAAGTCGCCTTAATCTTCTCTACTAGCCTACTGGAGCTTCTACATTGGGTATGGATTTTTAGGGTTAGACGGGTATGCGCCATCAAGTAAATTGAGGTTAGATGTATGAATAGGATCCTATGGTGGTCAACGCGACCGAACCCCTGTCATAGGAATGCCTTCCTAGATAGAACCCGGGATGAAACCTCGCTGTGGATGATGGGTAGTACCCATTGAAAGGAGTTATGAGCTTAATGCCCCAGATACAATAGCCTAGATCGAGGTGACTTTATATGGGTTTATGGGAGGCGTACTCGAAGGCGTGTGGATAACCACGAAAGTCCACGGAAAAGAGCTCACTCACCACAATTGACAAACCCTAAATATCTAGACATTGGATAATAGTATTGAGCTAGGATGAGGGGTAGTTCCCCAAAGTACATGCTTTTATCTTTATTTGCCCTCTTAACTAGTAGTTCGCTCATATCCTCCAAAACAAACCCTTAAATCGATTGGCTAGATAACAACAACGTGGGAAGTAGGCTAGGGTACCAAGATGCAAGTGAATAAGACCTTGATTGCCACTATATGAAACGCCATTTTATGTTAAACTTGGCCTAGAATGGAGTAATTGTTGACACGTACTAACCACTGACAATAATTTGCACGGATGAAATCGATAAGAATACATAGAGTTTCCTATATTTCTCTCTAGTCGCAAATAAAAACTTTGAGATCAAGAATGAGGTGATATCGATGATTCAAGCATTAGTTTTATTCAATGAACTCAAGAACAATGATCCTCATAGACATGTGCAAGTGTTTTTGGAGTTGACGGATGGGATTAAGCACAATGGGGTTCCACATGAAGTAATTTTCCAAAGGTTGTTTCGTTTTCTTTGATTGGTGTTGCAAAGTTATGGTTGAATAATCAAAAACCTTGATCAATTGTCAGTTGGACAAATTTATGCGAGAAGTTCTTTGCAAGGTACTTTCACCATCCAAGACTGCTGAAATAAGGAGTGAAATCACATCCTTACAACAAGAGGAGAATGGGCTTTTGTTTGAAGTGTGTGAATGATTCACCTTCCTTCTTTTGAAATGCCCACACCAGGGCCTCACTCATTTATTACAAGTGGAGACTATTTACACCAGTCTCACGAGGGATTCAAAGGACCTTATCGTTGCGGCCAAATGTGGTGCCAAAACTTGATGTAGAAACAAGTGATAATATCTTAGAAGTTCCTAAGGTCGTATTTCACGAGGATTTTTTATAACAACTACTCAAACTTAACCTAATGTGTCGAATAATATGCAAAAAAAAAAAAGCAAATGAATGTGGGTTGAGGTGCCCTTCATTTCGTGTCCTAAGCTATTTATGCAAGAAAGAAAACAAACAATGGAAGGCCAGAGATGGAAATGTGTAATGCAAGTGTTTAAATAATAAATAGTGAGAGATTGTCATATTGAATACTTTAGGGGATAGGGGGAAAATGACATTTTTGTGATAATTGGAGTATTACAGTGAAATAGCCCCAAGCTAATGACTAAATTTGCAACCTACCCAACTTAAATATGAAATGTTTGGCAAACTACACTTATATAGTCATAACTTTCATGTTTGTGACAAATATAGCCATATCTATCGAAAAACACAAAATAGCCCGAAAATTAGAAGGTAGCGTGACAAATCTAGCCAAATCTGTTAGAAACTTTAACGTCGTTTGGGATGCCGTCAAGTTCTGTGACGGAACGCTGACTTGGATCCAAGTCATCGACCACGTAAGATACACATCAGCAGCCCTTTACATGTAAATGCCACATCATCAATTAACTAAAAATAAAATAAAATAATAACTTTGTTACTCTCTCCACACCACCCATCGTCGACATCGGCCGCCGCTAGCAACAATCTAAATCCTTAGACTATTTCGTCGCCGCCCTAACTCCTACTCCCCCTAGCCCTCCATCTTATTTCCACTGCTCGTCGCTGTAGATCCAACTCTCACCAGACAACTGATTCGTCTTCCTCGTTTTTCTATTACTAATAAAAGGACGAGCTAGAGGCAGCAGCGATGGACAATCTGCAGCAGCGCGGGTGGCAGATGGAGGCTTCAGCGGAGTCGGCGATGGGGTTTATGGGTTGAGGAGAACTCGAGGAAGAGCTTCCGAATCGCGGATCTGGAGTTTTCTGGTCTTCCTTTGCCGTGCAGAACAGGGAGAGCAAGACCAAGTCGAGGAACCCGACCTGAAGGTGATACAAGCGGACCCTGAAGTCCGACGGCAGAGTAAGGACCGCATCCCTTGGCTTCTTCCCACGCCGCATCTTCTCGGGTCCTCCGCCGCTCTTCTCCTCCCCTCATCTTCTTGGCAGTTCCACTCGATTTTTAAGTCCAAGAAGAAGAAGAAGGGGAATCCACTCTAATCAACCGCCTCCGTCAGAACCCGAATAAGGGGAACAGTGCGGGAGATGCAGACATAGAATCAAGGGGGGGGGGGGGGCAAATGTAGAATTGAGGTCGACGACAACGATGCAGGTGAGACCGGTGCTCTGCCTCGCGGCCTGCGATTTGCTTAGGTAATTGGTGTGGAATAAGGTTTTGGGTTGCGGATTGCTGGGATGAAGATGATGTCGATGGCGACGACTATTTAGGGTTGTTGGGTAGAGGAGTACGGGGAGGAAGATAGAAGTTTTTTATTTATTTTTCATTTTGTTAAATCAAAAATTGCATTTACGGTTTATATATATTTTTGTTAATACACCTATCCGACAAAAAATCGCCAGGTCAGCATTTCTGTTAGTACAATAAGACTGTTAAGTAACACCGTAAAAAAGATGGATGAAAGTGGCTATATTTTGTTTTCCGATAGTTATGGCTACATTTGTCACAAATGTGAAAGTTATAGTTATGGATAGGGGTGGTCGTTCGGTTACCGGTTAAACCGGTAACCGACCGGTTATACACTAACCGGTAACCGAAGTAACCGAACTTCGATCGGTATCGTAGGCTGGACAAAATGATTTTTGGTCTTAAAAGTGATTTGGTTAACCGATAACCGAGAAACCAAAACCTATTTCGGTCAGTGTTCGGTAGGGGTGGTGATTATTTTGATTAACCTATAACCGGTCGATCGGTTACCGGTTATAACCGAAATAACCGAACTACTACCCTGGTCATGTAAGTTAAATTTGCTATTCTGTTTTGTGAAGATATCCCGAGAAAAACAGACTTTAGCATTTTCCGTCCGTCCGTCGGTTCTTCCGCCAAGAAACCGCCGCGTCCTCACCAATCCACCACCGTTCTTCCCATTTCCCAACCTCCAATTCTCTGTCGGCCGCCATCTTCGGAGTCAAATAGTGGTATCCTTCTAGTCAAAAACTCTCTCAATTGTAGTCATGGATTTCAGCAACCACAAGATGCCTTATTCCCCTACCTCTTCCTCCTCCTCCATCTCCTCCACGCCTCGCCCTACAACCACCACCGCCACCACCTTCGCCGGCGGGGCCACGACGACCTCCACCACCGCTGCCACCGCCGACCCGATGCACTCGTGGTGGGAATCCATCTCCAGAGCACGCTCCCGCATTCTCGCTCTGAACTCCCTCCTTCCTCCCGATCCCTCCTCTTCGCTCTCCCTCTCTTCTCTGGCAGACTCCGACCAGCCGGCGCTCTCCTTCCTATCGTCCCTCGACGCCTATTCGCTCTTCTCGTCTGCGATTTCGGCTCCTTCTTCAGGTTCGGGCTCCGATCCTCTCTGCCAGTGGCTGTACGAGACCTACCTTTCGGCCGATCCTCACCTTCGTCAGATCGTTCTCTCTTTTGTTCCCCTCCTAACCGGAATTTACCTCTCCCGGATCCACTCCTTGGAGTCAACATACGCTCCTTCTCTCGCTGGTTTTGAAGCTGTCCTCCTTGCGATCTACTCGACGGAGGTGAAATCTCGGGCTGGGAAGCCCGTTCTGGCGCAGATTCCAGATCTCTCGCAGCCGTCTCTGTATCACAGTCCCCGGAACAAGCAACAAAGACCCACTAAGCCGAGGCCTTCGGTTGGGGTTTTGAGTGCTCCGTTGGAGCCTCAGCTAGCTGTGAAGTCAACGAAGCGGCCAATCATCGTGGGCGTGGCCCTTGATTGCTATTTCCGGCAGATCTCGCAGATGCCGAGTTGGTCTAAGGTGGAATTGTGCAAATATGCGGCTGCGTGGGCTGGGCAGGACTGTGTTTGCAAGAACAAGTTTGATGCCGAAGAGAAATCCGAGAAGGAATACGCCAATGAGAATGGCGCGGGGTACTTTCTAGAGGGCAGCAACTTGAGCAATGGGTTTGACCAAAATGGCCACGGTAATGGTGTTGAGATTGAACATGAGGAAGATGTGGAACGGATAAGGGAATTGAAGATTGAAAGAGTTGATTCGGGGGAATTGGAATTGAAGGGGGTGAGGATTCCCCTGGCTTGGGAAGTTTTGCAGCCATTGTTGAGGATTCTGGGGCACTGCTTGTTGGGTCCATTGTGCGCCCAAGATGTCAAAGATGCTGCTTCTGTGGCAGTTAGGCGATTGTATGCGAGAGGGTCTCATGATTTGCTTCCACAGGCGATATTGGCCACTCAGAGCTTGATTCGGCTTGATAATAGAGCAAGGGAGTCTGCACAGGTAGCAGCAGCTACAAGTACGCCGTCAAATGCAACTACACCCAGCAAAGCTAAGAAGCCTGAAGTTCTATTGGTTTCCAAATGAACCCTTCCTCCAGGTTGCAGTTTGCTTTACAGGTATGGAGCTTTTGCACATTCTCTTGTATTCGTGTTATTACATGTTGTAGAGTTGTTTCTTGATTGGTGGTAAAGTGAAAGCCTTTTAGATTTTAGTTTGGCATTCAACTTGATTTATGTTGACTGATCTCACCATATGAAGACATACATTGCCATCAACATTTAAACTTCTTTGCTCTGGCAATTCCATTTTCCCCCACTAGTCGCTTGAACTTTTCCTCGGTTCAATGCTCAAACCTGCTCGGAAAGCAAGAGGTTCAGTAAGGGTAATTTTCGATAAGTTGTGTTGAGTTTTTGATTTATTGGTTGAGGTATCTTCAATTTGGTATTGCATCATCTCCTATGGCAAACTATCAGTCAGTAGTGAAGAGGCTGCTGCCTTCTTAAATATACGTACTGAATTTTATAACTAGTATAGGTGTATATGCAACTTTCTCATTCCCTTAGTGTTCGGAATAAAGCTTGCTCTCTCATGCATGACAGATAGTTTTCTCTATAAGATAAAACTTGTTTAGATTTTCAATTTTATGTTCAGGCATTCAGTTCTCTAATCTTATTTAAGGCCCTTTGGCTATGCCTTGATTGATCTTTGACCCTAGTTTTACTGTATTTAGAGTACGTAGAGAAGAATTAGTCTCAAGTGAACATGCAGGATTGCTCAATCTTATCTTTCTAAAATGTAAAATCAGTATTCAATGGATTTTCTTATGTACAGCTATAATTCGGCACAAATTATCTCGAATACATGAATAGTCTGATAATGCTTTTGCACAAACCTATTGACCATGGACTAGGAAGTAACTAGCTTTTGTTCTCCATATTGAAAACCCTAATTTGTTGCTCAGCATTCCTCCTAGTAGAATCCAATTGTAAAGCACTGCTGCATGAGAAATGAGCAAAGTATTTCCATGGAATTTTTACAGAGTGCTAATAATACTGGTACCGTGGCAGTTTAGTATTGCAATGTAGGAACTGTATATCCAATTTAAACTTTTTTTTTTTATAATGGTGAACTGTATATCCCATTTAAACTGATTTGGGATTGGGGAATGAGCATGATTCGGTATTAGAAGGATGAGAGTTTTTCATCAGAAAAGCTTACAATGACGCTTGAATGTTTGTTTTGTGTGGCAGCTAAAAGCAGCTGCTGATTTTAGACTCTATGCAGAAGACTTACGTACCCTGACACGATATCGGGATTGCTGGCTGGAGCACTATGTGATGATGGTAAATTGCTCTTGTGCTAATGTTTTAATGAGTGGATCTTTGCCTCAAAACCACAAGTGTAGTCCGTTGAAGTTTGAATGGTGAAAGTGTTGCGGCCTGGGCAGAATGAAATTTAGGCAAAAAGGCCATGCGGGATCGTAATGCTGCCTCCAGAAATTTGTAACCTCTACAACGAGGTGGTTTTCAGAATTGTGTAGCTCTTGCCTTTACAGTGTGCAACTTCATTAGCAATTCTCATGTTCCTTCAACAAATATTAAAAGCAAGATCGGAAGTGCGCCACGCTCCCCCACGGCGGCGGGTGGGTGATTACTGTAGTAACCCATTTCGATGGGTACCATTTGGCAGCTTGTGAAATTAAAATATCGATATTTAATCATTGCAAATTAGGTAAATTTTTTATATTTAAGGCAAGCTCAAAGGGCATGGGACAAAGATTCGACAAGATTACGTGCCCGACTCAAACACTGCGCGATAGTCCGTATGCAATCAGACTACGATGAAAGAGCTTGTTAAGCCTCTACTTGGGCAGCTCTGAAGAAGCTTCGAGGAGCAAAGACACGACACTGACGGGGAAAACAAAAACAAAAACCCAACATCTTCAAGATAGTCCCGCCAGCGAGATTTAATCTCTTGTGATAGAGATCTCTTGCAAATTAGGTAATTGGTTCACTGATATATTTCATGTTTGTCACTAAAAATATTTTGTCCATTTGGTAAAGCATCTTGAGCAAACACCTCCAAAATGAAAACAAGAGAATAAATCTCAATTGTTCCCCTGAGGATGTCGAAATACGAACAACAAAGCAATCACAACACCGAAGTCGTGACCAGAACCAAACACACCAGATTGCTCTGAACCAAACACACTGCAGCTTACAGAAATGAAGGAATCCAAACAGAGAACACAACATTATATACACGACTTACATAAACCAAATGGAGGAATCCAAACGCATAACAACAACATCCACAAAGTAGAAACCACAGCTTACAACAACATCCACAAAACACAAACCAGATAACTCAGCATCCAACCGCAGCTTATAGAAATCAAATAACTAAAGATAACTCAGAGAATAGGGTGCTTAGATCAGTACAATCGTCTTACAGAAACGAAGGAATCCAAATAAAGAACACAAAACAACACCATCCACAAACCATAAACCCCAAACAAAGACCGCATAGGGTCGCAATTGAATCCGAAAACTTAATTTCCAGTCTCTAAGTTACGCATGCATTTCTCTGAGTTACACATGCAAGACCACATGTAGGGATTCCATTTATCAAAATCAACAAAATCGTATTGTAATCGACACAAACCCAAACTCCCCCAAAAATCCCCAACAAAATGCAATCGGCTGAAAATGAAGAAGAAGAGGGTGATCGAAGAAGAGTAGGGTGATTAGAGTACTGTCGTCTTGCTCGATTCTGCGTGGAGGATTTGATGAGAGGTTTCGGTGTTACAGAGAAGAAATACTGGTTTCGATTCGTAGAGGTTTTTTGAGCGGTGTCTTTCAATTTTTGGGGCAAAAATTCATAGTCGATCTGGTTTTGGAGCGATGGAGGGAAATTAGATTAATTTTTGTGCCCTATTTTCCCTCTCTCATTTCCATTATCCGCACATAAAAAAGAAAAGAATAAAAGTACCCATATTTTGACTAATATAACTTTGTCATATTACTAAAGTTATATTACTTAAAATGAAGTGCAACACCGCTATTTTGACAAACTTATAATGACATAAAATATTTGTCATAATAAAGATGTAATATGACAAAAATATTATGACAATATATAAATTCGTCACAATATGTATCTAATATGACAAAGTTTTATGAAAAAAAATTTGTTGTAAAAAAAACATAACTGATATGAGAAATTTTTGTTCTGCCTATTATATGATCTATATTGTGATAAACCTAAAATGACAAATTGTAATTTCGTCAGGTCATCCCAAAACGGTTGTAGTGCTTGTGTCACAAGCATGGGAGACGACATAAAGACTCTTACGAATTAGATTGAAGCCCTACTTCAAGCGCAAACCAACAGCTAAGTCGAGATCGAAATCGCGCTACAAACTCAAATATTCTCTTTTTATTCACACCACCGTCCACCGACCCAAAACCTCTTGCTCTCTGCACTAATCTTCTTCGCCCACTTCTCCCACCCTATGGATCAAATTCATTTTGAGATGAGAGAAAAAAAATCCCATTTGACATATAATGATCGAAATTTCAAGGTAGAGTGAGTTAGATTGAAATTATCATCTAAAAAGGAAAAATTAAACAACCAGTTAACGAGTTCCTCTGGGCTAGGCCCATTATCATTTATCAAAGCAACTTTATTTTTTACTTATTAAAAACACAAATACAGATACCAAATAATATAATCTACAATACATAAATTCAACCATATACCGATTTAACAATCCGAGAAACCAAACAACCCCTATGTGTAATGTTTTAACTTTTAAGACTTCGTGCTGGAGGCCTGCCAATACTATTGTGCCAGCGTGGTTTCGCGGTCAACCCCGGTGATGCCAATCCCTTGAACTACCTACCATATTTTGCACATATCAAGTTGGTCATTAATTTCTGAGGTTGGAATATGAAGATCCTGGTCCACCTTTGGTCTCGTCCATCTTACACGAAGAAAGAGCTCTCGCTCTCTGTCTTTTTGTTTTCCTGAGATTGTGATTGTGTGGTATTTGTATAGTTGAAGTTGAACTCTAAAGTGGAATCTCCTATAAGATGATACGAAAAGAGAGAAAAAAGTGAGACAGCGTACTGTGATGTGTGATTTGATCGAAAATATGATTTACAGTTTCGCACTATACCATCCTGTTTAATTAATCGAGTAGACAATTGCATAGCAATACCCACATTTTCATTACAAAAACGATGTTTAAAATTACACGAATGTTCCACGAAAAGAACAATCTTACAGTATACACACTTCCCCGAATAAATATTTGCCTAGTCAACGTTTATGCAGAAAATACAAGAGAAAAAGGACTTTGTCCGCGTAAACTTTAATTTCGTGGACTAGCTAGAGGTCAGTTGACAGCGGTGCAGAGTGTACGAATCTCTCCCGCAGCTCCGCTCTTGACCTCAACATTGCCCATCTTCACCATCGACCTCCCGAATTCCACGCCGAAAGTCAGCCCCGCCAGCCCCCGAATCCCCAGGAAGCGCTGCACCAGCCCTCTCGTGCCTGCGTCTGCCCACAGCACGGCGTCGGACTCCAGCACACCGCGCCCACTCCTCAGGTTGCCGTAGTAGTTGGCGTCGAACCGGTTGGGGCTGCCGGTGTCCATCGCCACCCGCCTCGCCCCGTCCCCGTTCTGCGGGCACAGCGCGCGGAGCTGCCGCACGAACGCCGCGTCCAGCGACGGGTCCGCTCCGCTCGCCGCGCCCGGGAAGCCGTACAGCCTGTACCTGAACAGCTGGCACGCTGCCGTCCCGATCGTGTGGGCTCCTGCCATATTTTAGTTATTCCGAACACATTGGTTAGTTTCCACTGCAATGCGCGCATATAGATTAGGAGCGGCGGAATTAAAATTACATTAAGAGTACTCAACGAAGAAAAACAAAGTCATCAAAGAGTTATCGATCAAGTTTTTTTTTTTTTTTTTTTTTTTGTGAAATACTAACGTCACTAAAATAAAATTTATTGAGAAATTTCGACTCAAAATTTGAACGAGCAGGTTTGTCGATTGACAAGCCATTAGGTACGGCCCATTAGATTAGAGTAATTAAGGATTGTATTAAAATACCAGAAAGGGCTACGAGGTCCTGAGCGTTGAGACCCTTCTCGTCGTACTTGCGAATTTGCACGGCCACCGAATCGTTGAAGGCCGGCAAATTGGCGGCGTCCGATGCCAACGACACCCTCCCGTCTCTTCTCCCGGTGGGCACACTCCAAAAAGGCCCATTCGTCTGCATACAAATTCGATGACGACATATTCAATCGTAAATCAACTTATTCCAATAGTTCGAATTGTTGAGAAACTTGGATGTATGGTATTTATTTAACCACTTCAATTTATAATTAAATTATGAAATATGTGGTTAAGTGTGCTGATTAACCAACTCCAACGAAACAATGTATTTTGTAACAAATATGTAAATTCCCTTAGGAAAATATACCACAGAAACCCACAAAAGCACATGGGGGCGCAAGGCAAATGAATTTACCACGGCAACGGAGTCACGGGCCGCAAGAGCGAGGATGTCGGCACAGGAAACGACGCCGGGGCAAGCGACCTCCAACTGAGCCTTGGCGTCATCCACGACGTCGAACCCTCGGAGCTGGCGGTTGGGCGGCGCGGTCTTCTCGGAGGTGGGCCCGTCGAGGAGGATGGAGGCATCGCAGCCGTGGACGAAGCAGTCGTGGAAGTGCATCCGCAGTATTCCGGGCGCAATGCTTGGGTCGGAGCTGAAGTGCGACTGAACCACCGACCGCACGATCGCCTCCGCCCGCGGGCACGTCCTCGAGTAGAACCCAACCCTCGTCCCTTGCCCTCGAGCCCCTCCGCTCGCCACGGCGGCAACCCAGAGCAAGAAAAACAGTACCATATTCCGGCCCAACTTTGCCATGCTAAGCTACACGTGATTGTTTCTTTTCTTTTCTTTTTAGTGGTTGATTGCTATACTGGAGTTCTTGAGGCGTGATGCTCTTATATAGATGGTTGGAAAAGAATATGGTAAGCAAAGGCGGCTAATGAGTGAGTAATGAGTGTATTGGATAGGATGATATGAGATTCATGGGAAGAAATGATCAACTGGCCATGATAGAGAGCAAGAGAAGTTGGGAAGGAAGGAGTCAAAAGGTAGGTAGCTAGGCTGAAAACAATTGAATGATGGGGGCCTGCAACTGTCTCCCCTCTTGTGTTTGCATTAAATGGGTGCGTCGACCGGCCAGGACTTTTGGTGTGTGCTTTTCGTTCCCCGCCTTCGACGTCGGAGCGTGTGTGGATGGGGACGGGATCTGCATTTATGCTATACCAATTTGCGATGCAACTTGGCTTATATTAATTTATGAGAGCTACTTTCACGCGATTAAGTTGCTTTTAGCAAAGAGGTAATTAGTATTATGGCGAGGGTATACGTAGGTCGTCACATGCACAAGTTTGACGAAGAGAAGTGATGAGAGAAGAAACCTTCTTCATCCCAGTCTCAAGTATCTTCAAGATGGGTGTAGCAACAGCTTTGGTTTGGTAAAACCCTAAATCCTATTTCTTTCTCATTCATCTTCTGCGCTTTATAAGCTGCGGATCAAAGTAACAAGACAAAACCAACTCCTTACAGTTTTGTTTGGGAGCTAAATTTGTGAGAAAACAAAGTACAATCTTGAACAGAAAAAAGAAAAGAAAGCGAAATGAAGTGGCAAAACGGCATCGTATGAGTCAGGGATGGAGCCAGGATTCTTGATTAGGAGGGGCCAATTTTTTTTTTTTTCATATATACTTATCAATTTGATAATTCAAAACAAAATTCCTCATAATTTCAAAATTTAAAATAAATCTAGTCGTAAAATATAGTAGTCATGACTATTTATAAATGAAAACATGATAAATTTTCAAAGAAATTAACTTACACGGAAAGGGTAATCAACCCTGAAAAAGTGATTTCAAAGAACCTAATTATAAGTTGAAGTTATTTCAAAGAAGCTCGCCATAAGTTGAAGAAAACAAATACGAAATTAACTAGCAAAGAGAAGGTAATCAACCCCCAACAAGTGGTTTCAGAAAAACTAATTATAAGTTGAAACAAGAAATTTTAGAAAAGAGATGAGGATAACGCCTGCTTAACCTCTACGATGCCAATGTTATTTGTGTTTTAATTTCATATGTTGTGCAATTTAAAAAGTTTAGGGGGGCTAACAAGCTAGCTCTGTCCCTAAAATGACGCTGGAGAAGTCTTCGTCTACCCGAGCCAAGTTACCATTGGAATTGAAATGAAATATCAATGTTCATTGTCTGTTACCCCCCCCCCCCACCCCTCCCCGCCGCCGTAAGGTGGTGGGCATAGATTATGCACACCAAACTTGGAGAAGAGACGATTGAAGGGTGCGCTCGTGGTGATTCTAAGCAATGTAGATGACACTTTGGCTGTCACAATACAAAGTTTCTGGCTTGGGATGATCAACCTGAAAATCACGAAGCAAGTAAAGCAACTATTGAACCTCACAATTGGCTTACGCTAGGGCATGATATTTAGCTTCACAGGAAAATCGAGAAACTATCTTTTATTTCTTGCTTTTCCAGGAAATCAATGAATCACCAAGGAAAAATACAATAATTAGTGATAGAACATCGTGGATCAACACATGCTACTGATAACACCAAAAATGATGTTATTAATCCTTCATATTTAAGGTTTTTTTAGTCATTTCGTTGTCTTATTGGTCAATATATCATCAAATACATCCATTTTGTTCTTCGAAGAGAATATTATTATATTAGGATGATTTAAATGATATGAACGTTTTAGGTACGAAAAGGGGTCACAAGTGTAGCATTAGGTGCAAAATCACGAGATCACGATCGGGAGCAATCGGATCAAGGCAATGAAGAGAGGGCGTGAACCAGAGCACGAAGATCGCAACCTCCATCGCGGCCACAAAGTCTTTAGCCCAGTGCGCGAACTTCAGGAGTAGCCACCAAAAGAGGATCAAGGACTTTCGATAGTCCACTCGCAACTCCAATTATCTTACCCGCGATAAAGTTAAAGGTCGTGACATCTCGTACCAGATCGTGACTGAGATATCAAGCCGCGAATGCAACACCCATGAAGGCATAAATCGTTGACCCTCCAGATTGCGACCTCTCCATCGAAGATCACAGCCGCGATCTTTGCCTACTCAACCGTGAACTTGCCCAACAGTCTAATCTCTATAAATAGGCGACTCCCCCCCTTCATTTGAGATCTGAAATCACTTAAAAATATCTGATTTTTTTAGAGAGAGAAGTTAGAGATAGAAGCTAACGAAATGAGAATAAGAGAAGGAAAAGCCAAGAAGCAAGGTAGCACTACGGGAAAAGTGACATTTGCCAACACGTGAAATGTGTTGTAAAAAGTGTCAAAAGTGGTGTATATGCATGTGATATGCAAAACTTTTAGTAGTGTCACCTATTGGTTGTGTTACCTAAAGTAATAGATAACACTTTTTATAACAAAAAAGCAAAGCGTTGTGTATATACACTCCATATGTATCATTATTTTATATACAACACTTCATAATATTTATACAACGCTATTTAACAAGCAATATCAATATTTATACACTATTCATGATAGGATTTGTCATCACGTAAAATATGTGCAATCGTGACAACTTTTTTTGTAATAAATGCGAGACATTTGTGACGAGCTTGTTCTAACACCAATCATATTTCAACTATTACACATTTAATCTGTCACAATACATCATTTTTTAAGACTAATCTAACACAAAAATTAGGGGTGGGCAACGAGAAACGAGTATTTGGGTATACGACTCGCTAAAACACAACACCAAACTACGATCGAGTGCAATAGTAGTGTGGAAATGCAGTATAGTGGGACAAGTAATAAATGTTAACCCGGGGCCTAGATGTAGTGCCTACTCTGGGAAAAGTTGATTGATAATGAATTTAAACTAAAACAGAAAGAAAGCAGCAGGTTGTTCGGTTTTCGAAAGCAAGAGAAGAGTCACTCGGGAATGAGTTCCCCTAGCTCCTTAATTAGCTCTAAGTTATAATTTCTTTTGGTTGTTTTACTATTGATTAGACTGTGGAAGATCTGAAAATAGCTTCGAATCTCTTAAACTGACCAAGGCCTCTTAGATAGAATACCCGGCAGATGACTAGCCTTCAAATGACTCAATAAACATATCTCAATTGATTAAAATCATCCAGTATAACATTCAAAAGTCATTACAAACAAGATCCCTAATACATGGAATTAGGGTTCTGCATACCCAAGTGAGAGAGAGGTTTACTCTATAGAGAGAGAGAGAGAGAGAGAGAAGAAAAAAGAAATCAAAGCAGTCATACTCATAATTGTACGAGGGCACCGGACCGGGCTGCCCACGGGCTTGCACGACACGACACGGTCAGAGACCAGCACGAGCACAAACACGAAATATATGGGCCAGCCCAACACGAGCATGAATTCTTTACGGGCCGTGCCGGGCCTAAAATTCATGGGCACAGACACGAGCATGGGCATGACATGGTATGTAAATGGGTCGTGGCGGGCCTAATATTTTCAAAACCTTATTGAGTATAAGAACGGACATAACACAAAAAGAATATTAATTTGATAAAAAATAAATATAAAAAGAATAATAGGTTCAAATATTGCAAATATAAGTACAAAAATAATTATTTATTGTTGTTAGAAGTGATCATTAAGATATAAACGTAATTACTACCACAAGAATAAAACGGACGAAGAATTAAACAAAGTAGCTTCACACTCGTTATACTTTCAATTTTCTTCTCCCCTTTGTTACGTTTCTCAAACATTCCCGTTTAATATTTTCATTCTTCGTTCAATTTTCTCCTTTTCATTGGCTCTTTTATTTTATTCATTTTCGTTAAACACAAATATGAGCATGACATGAGCACGAGTAAGCATGACACCATTTAAACCGTTCCCGGACCCGGGTCAGGCCTATCAACAAATGGGCTTGCACGATACGAAAACTAAAGGGCCCTGTCAAGCACGACACAAAATAAATGGGCCTAAAGCGTGTCGTGCCGGCCCAAGCACGGCCCAACGCCCATGTACACTCATAATGATGTGTATAATCTGCTCTAGGATGTCAATCTTCACTCATGGAGACACAATATGGGCTTCAATGGTGAGAAATCCATTCCAAATGGCTCCTAGGGTGTGTTCTTCGTCACTTTCTCTCTCTAGAACTCTGTTTTTTCTCCAAAAAGTCAATCCCCTTCCTTTGGCTCGAATATGCCTATTTACCCCGATATTGGGCAAAATACGAACAAGAGCACTGTCGTGCTTTGCTTCTGACCGTGCTTTGACTAAACCACGTGTTTTACTTAAGCTGGGACAGGGAATTTCACGGTCGCGTTTTGGTAAAACACCGACAGTAATTTGAGAAGCACCGATAGTATTTTGAGAAGCACCGGCAATGCTTTTATCTTCGCCTGCCCGTGCTTTGCTTTCCTTCAACATTATTCAAGAGCCAGCCTCACCTTTAAAAACACGAGCGAGTCGTTGGTGAAACACGGTAGTGCTTTTAGAAAGCTTGGTCATAATTTGCACCTGAACCATCACCACACTCGACAAAATAAACACCAGCAATCATCATGTGAAGCACGGTAGTGCTTCAGGCAGGGGACGACAGTGTTCTGTCTCCTGAACCACCAAATGATCTCCAAACGACCTGAAACTTGCGCCTAAGCCTTCTTCTACCTGCTAGGACCTTAAATGTGACAAAATAGCACAACCTAGTAAAATAGGCCAAGAAACCACAAATTCGAGCCGGAATGGTTAAGAAATAAGGTTGCAAACATGTGCAAATATGGCGCTATCAGTATACCCATACCCACCCCATTTTATTGAGGGTTATGGGTACTCAAATATCCATAAAAAATTGAGATTAGATTTGGGATTAAAATATTCTATAATGGGTACATGCGAATTACCCGTTAATACTCGTTTGTATATTATGAGTACCTGTACTACCTGCCATCCCCAGACGGAAAGAGAGGGATCAGTGTCCTCAACACACAATAATTACTAACTACTTTTTTGGCTTGCGCTTCGTTGCGTTAAGAAACTAATAATTTAGGTGAAATTAAAGAATTTACAAAATTATATGTGTAAATTAATTCCACAATTTTACATAGTGTCTTATTATTGTGAATATTCGGTGTTTAATCACTATGGAAGACCTACATAATATATTTGTTTAATTGATACATAAAAGTCATTATTTTTCCATAAAATTTATGTAAAGTATTAATCATTAGAGAAGACTCGTGTAATAATTTTTTTTACTGATACATAACAAATCATATCCCTCTGCGAATTTTACGTGATGGATTGGTAATTTACATAACTGTTATAGAATGTTGTTACATAAATCTTTCGTAATGTGTGGTCTAATAATAAAATCTAAGTTATTGAATGTAACATTTGATTAAATTGTTATGTCAAAGTTAACTAACTTTGCGCAACCTTTGCAAACTTGATTACATGGTGAATATTTATATTTTAGTTAATAATGATTGAATTTTAGGTAATAATGAAGGAATTACGTAAAAAAAATATCTCATTTGATTTTGATGTGTAAAATAGCTTAACTTACAAACTCTTTGCGTAATGCAAATTGATGAGAAGATCATCGGTTTAGTTAATAACAAAGAAATTCCCATTCAAACTTATATTTCGGGTACATAATATGTTTGTTTAATTGATACATTTAAAAATTATTATCTTTCCATAAGTTTTACATAGTATCTTAATTATTACGAAAGACATGTAATATCTTTGTTTAGTTGATACATAAGAAATCACTATTCCTCTATGAATTTTACTAATATATTTGTAATTAATGTAACTGTTATATAATGTTGTTATATAAATCTTTCATAAAGTGTGGTCTAAAAACAATCCCCATTGGCAAAAAAATTTATACAAAACCTTTATATAATGCAAATAAAAATGAGCTTATGATGAGAAACTAATTATATATCAAATGTGAACTATTCATTTATGATTTAGTTAAAATAAAATAATTTGAAAATCGTAAAATACTTCTATAAGTTTACGTAGAATTATTTAATTAAATCATGAAATGAATAGTTATGTAAAAGTTAATGGATCTTATAGAACCTTTGTGTAATACAAATTGATGAGAAATTTATACACCAAAAGATATATAAATTATGGTACTAGTGTTTTATGTGATTACAGAAAGAAATTTATACATCACATTAAATTTTCTTCAAGATATATATCACTAGATTAAAAATCATATATGTTTTATATCCTTAACAAGACAAGATACACTCTATACAAATGAAAATAGCATACTAAAAACACATAATAAAATGCACCACTATGTGGGAGGGAAAATAACATACTAATGACAGTGGTTCTTGTTGTTGACAACTGTTCGCTTAACTCTCATCACAATTCTTAGTCGTCATTAATAAGTCAACAAACAAAGAGTTATTTAGAAATTGAAGAAACACAAATCTAACACTAAATAATACACTAGCTTTTACGCAACCTGTTGGTCGTCAATATCGCTAGTGTAGGAAGCTTTTTTAGTGTTTACAAGGTTTATTGCCATTGAGACGCAACAATGAGCTCATGTAACAAAATGCAGGAGGTGTGGTAGGTGAATGAGGCTTGGTTTGTTTTTAAACATCTACAATCCCTCACATTTAGCTACAAAAAACATTTTTTTGAAAAGAAGATGAATGTGGATCTCCATGTGCCTAGGTGACATTGTCGAAGGAATGCTAATATAACAAGTTTGTTAATTTAGCAAGCATACATGTCTAACAATTGATTGAAGTGTCACCAGAGTCTACCCTCAATCTCACTTTAACAATGGCTTAAAAATAACAATAATGGTTCCAATCCTTAAGCTTACGGCTAGCCCAAAGTAATTTTCTTTTTGACAGCAACAAGCCCAAAGTAGAGCTTTTGAACTAAAAATTTCGCGTACTGGAATTCTGCAAGTCTACCTGGTGAAAGTAGAGCATCGAGTTTCGCCAATACAAGTCTGCAGCTATTGATAAGTGCGACTGAACTAGAATAAGACTTGTCCAACTCAAAAGCCATGAGGTTTTCATCTTTGCATATGGCCAAATTCTCCCGTTCGCTCTGTTCTTCCTCCTCTCAAAATCATTGGTCTCCTCAAAATCTATTCAAACAAGGGTTCACTCCCACTCTCCAATCCATCAATCAATTCCTTTACTTTCTGTTGAGTAGTCACAGATTCGACTTAATCGCCCACTTCGTCTCTCAAATGAGCGGGAACCGAGTCCAGGGCAACTCCCAAACTCATTCGATTTCGGCTTGGGCTCTCCTCAAACTCAACATGTTTGAAGAGGCAGAGCGTTTCATCAAGACCCACATGCCAAAGTCTTCAACTTTCTCCAAAGATCCCATTTGGGATTGTCTGATTGTGGGGTTTAGTATCCATGGGAAGGACCCGGACAGGGCCTTCACACTGCTGCAAGATTCTTTGATGGATTACGGTGTGTTGCCCGCTTATTCTACTTTCCGTTCATTGATTCATAGTCTTAGTTCTCAGGGAAAGATCACTAGAGCCTTAGAGGTGTTGGAGTTGATGAATGATGACCGTGTGAATTACCCTTATGACAATTTTGTTTGTAGTTCAGTCATTTCTGGGTTTTGTAAGATAGGGAAGCCGGAACTTGCCATTGAGTTCTTCCATAATTCACTGAATGTTAAAGCTTTGAAGCCCAATCTGGTTACATACACTGCACTTGTTACTGCGCTTTGTGACTTAGGTAGAGTAAATGAGGTATCTGAATTGGTTTGTAGGATGAGGGAGGAAGGATTGGTATTGGATGTAGTTTTCTATAGTAACTGGATATCTGGGTGCCTCCGTGAAGGTATGTTAAAGGATGCGCTTCAGAAACATTATGATATGGTTAAAGAAGGAATTATGTCTGATGCAGTTAGCTATACTATACTCATAGATGGTCTATCTAAACAGGGGAGTGTCGAAAAAACAGTAGGATTTCTCCACAAGATGGTATACACTAAACTCAAACCTGGACTGGTTACTTATAGTGCAATCATGTTGGGATTTTGCAGGAAGGGAAAAGTTGTGGAAGCATTTACTGTATTTGAGTTGGTTAAGAATCTGGGGATTGAACTGGATGAATTCGTTTATGGGATTTTGGTTGATGGATTCTGTAGACAAGGAAATTTTAAGCTTGTTTCTGAACTGCTCGATGAAATGGAAACCACTGGTATACGTCCAAGTATTATCACCTACAATACATTGATCAATGGCTTATGCAATGCTGGAAGAACCTCAGATGCTGATGAACTATCAAAAGGTATATTGGGAGACATTGTGACCTACAGCACATTGTTACAAGGGTATGTTGAAGAAGATAATGTAGTACGGATTTTAGATACCATACAGAGATCAAAAGATGCTGGAATTAGCTTGGATATGATGATGTGTAACATACTACTCAAAGCACATTTTATGGTTGGTGCAATTGATGAAGCATATGCTCTTTATAAAGGAATGCAAAGAATGGGTTTGGTTGCAGATTCTGTTACTTACTGTACAATGATTGATGGGTATTTTAAAGTAGATCGAATTGATGAAGCACTTGAGACATTTGACGAATTTAGAAAAAGTCCAATTTCTTCGGTCGCCTGTTACAATTGTCTGATTAGTTGGCTATGCAAGAAGAACTTGGTTGAGATGGCAATGGACGCATTTTTGGAACTCATTGAGAAAAGCTCGACTCTGGATGCAGGTACATATATGATGCTACTCAAGGCCATTCTCAAAGAAGAAAGGTCAGACAGAGTTTTGAATATGATATATAGAATAGAGGAGCTTGGGCTAGACATATTTGGAAGGTTATGTGATTACACTATCAGTTTATTGTGCAAAAGAAATTTTGTCTTGTTAGCAAGTGAGGTTTACATAGCAGCAAGGAGGAATAACTCATCTTTGACTAGCAAATCTTACTACTTCCTCCTAAGAAAACTAATTGTTAGCGGAAATTCTCGATTAACCAGGCCCATACTAAGTTCTTTTGTAAAGCAATATGGTCTCGTTGAACTTAAAGTAAATAAGATACTACTGCATTTTCTCTGCCAAAAGGATATTGAAACTGCAGTTTATTTTCTCAGCAAAGTGAAGGAGAAAAATCTGAAAGTTGACTTTCCATTGAGTGCTTTAAAAGCATTGACTAAAAATGGTGGAGTTTTGGCTGCCTATGAACTGATCATGGGACCTAATGATAATGTACAAGGTATGGATGTGGTTGATTATTCACTAGTTGTTGATGGCCTTATCAAGGAAGGGCATCATATTAAGGCCTTGGATATCTGTGATATTGCTGAAAGTAAGCAGGTTTCTCTGAACATAATTACATACAATTCTCTTATAAATGGATTGTGCCACCAAGGGTGTCTTGTTGAAGCATTTCGCTTATTTGATTCATTAGAAAGAATGAATTTGCGTCCTTCTGAAGTGACATATTCAACACTCATTGACAATCTGTGTAGAGAAGGATATTTGGTGGATGCCAAACAGTTAGTTGACAAGATGGTTGTCAATGGCTACAGAATCAGTACTCATGTCTATAATTCACTTGTTAACTGTTATTGCAAGACTGGTCAGATTGGGGAAGCCTTGAAGATTTTGAGTAACATGGATACAGAACGGCTTAAACCCGATGAATTTACCGTTAGTGTTGTGATTAATGGTTATTGTCAGAGTGGGAACATGGAGCAGGCTCTTGGGTTTTTCTCTGAGTGTCAGTCAAAAGGTACATCGCCTGATTTCTTAGGCTATCTGCTTTTGATAAGGGGTCTATGTACCAAGGGGAGGATGGAAGAGGCCAGAAGCATCTTAAGAGAGATGCTGAAGTCACAATCTGTACTGCAGTTGTTGAGCAGTGTCGATAATTTGTCTCAAACAGAATTGGTGGACGGTTTTCTTGCATCCTTGTGTGACCAGGGAAGTATCAAAGAAGCGGTTATGGTACTTGATGAAGTTAGTGCTTTAATTTTTCCACATAGGAGAAAGTATGATCTTGGTCATGAGTTGGAGGATCAAGCTGTCCGCCAAGAAAGAACTAATGTGGAGGTTCCACCTTGTGAGATGATGGAAGTGGGCATGTGTTTGGAGAATTCTGGCATTATCAAGGAAGGATCTCAATCCAATTTATTTGATTCATGTTCTTCCTTAATTGTATCTCTCTGCTCAAAAGGTGATCTTGGTGAGGCTAATAGATTAGCACAGGAGATGCTGGCTAATTTTGATAGAAACTGAAACAACGTATAATCACCACCTTGGAGCTTTATTCTTTATATGCAGAGGAACTGCATTTGTACTTCCAGGTAATAAATATTTTGCGCTTCTCTGGTGTGTTGCATACTAGAGCAGCTGAATTGTTTTTTGTCAGATCACTGATTTTTCTCTTCATGAACAGATTTTTCTTGAAGCCAAATCCAATATTGGTGATTCTTTGTGGACAGTTTGTACTGACATTGAAATCCATGAGGACAACACGAATATCGGAAAGCATTCTGTGCAATGGAAGGTGCACCGCACTAAAGGTCTTTCACATGGTACAACCTAAGTTGGGTTGTGTACTGAGTGGCATGCCTTCTACCAAAATATTAGAGGTGTGTGAACTTTCTACCCTGTCATTTGCTTGTAAGTTGTAACGTTCTGCCTGGGACACTACTGTCCAAGATATGTCTACAATTCACATGGTATTGTAGCTAAACTTATTTCGATGGCATTTAAATTGTGAAACGTATTGTCAGCTTCAAAATTTACTTGTATCATACAAACCCTTCACTTTGTTGTAGACTTTATGAGTCAAGCGTTATATGTTCCATTGTTTCGAGTGACACATGACGTGGCAGTGGGATCTTGTGTTGGGCAGGCGGATTGTATGCTTTTTCATGACCTGAATGGCGGACTCTTGTAAAAGGGTACTTACCTGCTTGGTACCCTTTGTGGATCAGCATGGTGACTGCCATTGATAGGTGTAGCAGTTGTTTTTCCAAGGTTTCAAGATCTGGGTATGAAGATATCTAAACTCAGTCACTTTCAGTAAGTGATTTTTTTTTTGTAAGTCTAGTGTAAAAAGATTGCATTCTTAACTTAACCTGACCTGACCTGTAAATTTTATGACCTTGTCACATGCACTATTTTCTGTAGGTGAATTGAAGAACGTGCAGTAATTAAAATGGATTTGGATCATGGATTTGAAGATCTTGGAGGTCGTTTGGATCATGGATTTGGATCACAATTCTAACCCTAGTGAGAATTGACCAAATCCGTGAACCCCCGGGATTTGGAATCCCACATAATTTGGTGAGATTTGAGAGAAGGGACCAAATCCTTGATGCTAAATAAACCAATCCTTTCATAACATCTGACATTCATACATCAATTTTCTCAAATCCCAAACGAACCAAATCCATCACCAATCCTCAGATTCATGGAAAGAGAACAGTAAGTGCAGACGGACCTAACCTCTTCTTTTTGGTTGAATAAGTTTTTCGAATTCAAACACTAACAGTAGTTGGACACATTATAACAGGCTAACTCCCAGATCATATGCACTGCTCTGCCGTTCTGGAGATGTAAATTAACTGTACTGCAGCATACCCAGCCATGAAGGATGCTGTAAAAACTTCAAGCCCTTTTGCCATGAGATTGTGAGGTGTACAAGTAAAGCTACGTGCAGCAAAAGATTTTGGTTGTTGCAGTTGACATACTTCATACCCCCGTATCAACTGGTATGCATCAGATTATGCAAGTTGAAGCTTATTGTCTTATATGGTTACATCCTCCACCTTGCTTTCTATTCTGACAAATAGTTGCCAGGATTACCAATACCGTGCAAAATGGTTTACCTTCTTTATGTAAGAAAAATGGTTGTTGCTTAAGTTTGCTTGGTGGAAGTATATAGTGACACATTTTAGTTTTGCTAAGAGTAAGTTATTTACGTCAATGCTAATCGACATTCTATCAAATCTTAAGAATAGGGTTCAAGTGCAAGAAAACAAGTTCCTTCGCGAAGGCATATTTGCATCAAGGTGCATGGAGCTCTGGAAGGATTGTACTCGTTATACTGAAGCCATGTCAAACTCCGCCAAGAAAAAGAAACAATAAACTTGGTAAGTGGCCAGGAATCTGAGGAATAGCGCATGAAGAATACTCTTCGTCATCTGTATGCCGCCTCCTGTGTACTATGCTTTCTTCTCCTGACTGTTTATTTTCTTGAACAGCCATATCTTCAATGGAATAAAGTTGCCCAAATTAACTTCATTGATTGATGTTAACTGTCTTCAATTCTCCCGTGAACGATGTGATTGATAAAGATAATCTATTGAATATTGATCACCATAGAGAGTTGCTTACTTTTTCATGTAGGATGCATATCTGTTTCATTCGCCCTGTCTTGCTTTTCAAGTACTTTCAGAACTCACTACTACAATTAGCTGTCATGGATCACCATGATCCTGATTCCTGGGACGGCAATAGCATCATCAGATGTTAAAGATTTCATGGTACTGCAGAATATGTTCGGTAATGCATTATTCGTTGATAATGTTTGCCCTTGTGTCGTTCCAGCAACTCATCTACCATTTGTTCTCCTTGATCGCTAGCCAATTGTAACCAAGCGCTGACAGATCTGTAAATTCGGTTCCGAAGTTGACTTGCAACTTCCCTCTATGGTTTCCTATTGAATCAATCATCTGACTCCGTGTTGACTCACGCTTTTCCTACACTTGTGACCTCATATGATTTTACATGTTAAAATCCCTATCAAATAGGCATCAATCTTAGTGCCTTGTAGATAGGGAGCCGTGGTTTTTTTTACCGATACTAAGTTTGTAAACAGGCATTCTCCCTCTGACCAAAGAAGAAAAGACTGCCATTGAGAATAAGTTCATATATCTCAACAATGTCGTTCATCAACAAAACAAGAACAAGAACAAAAACAACATTGTGAATAGTCAAGGAAAGATTGCTAAGCTTACACACTCTAACAACCATCTCCAATATTTAGAATTCATGCAGTATTACTTCCGCCAGAGTATCACAAACCTAACTTCTAAAACTGATAAGTTCCCTTTCCTCCAGGCTCACTCAACATCAGTTTTCATGCAAAGCTTTCATCAAGTAAAGTCTGCTGAAGTTTTGCCCAGCAACCCTGCAAAGTGGAGTGGAGTGTAGTGAGAAAAACAGATCAACTAGAAGAAGGATATTAACCTCTTCAGGACCACCAATACGAAATACAAATCAGTTAAGGACCAAATCAATATCTCACGAAAGGTGGACATTGAATAGCTTATGCGGAGATCACAAAGAGCTTGAATACTACACAATGGCATAAATTGAAAGATATCAAATTGACGATTATGGTTCTGACGTACCCATTGATTTGGTTGCAGAAATTTGAAATTTGATTGGTTATGAGAAAGCTATCCAACCGAGACGGCTCAGGAATTGGCTTAAAGATTGGGTTCGATGGATCTTCCTCGGGTAAAGGCTCTTCACCAGCAGCCTTGCGTGCCATGTTCTCAGCCCTACACAAAAACAAAAACATCCAGTGAAGTTAACTTTGTGAAAGGGGGCAAAAAACTATAATTCAAGGATACATGAAATGACAAAGCTCAGAACAAAAAACAAACTACAATAATCACTTATGCTGGCAGATGACGAAATGACTTGAGCTGAAAATCCATTGGAGTCAATGACACTTGCAACTCTATTAAGTTCCAATCATATTGCATAACCTTTCTATCTCACGTGTGCTCTTTTAATCAATATGTTGTCAGGAAATTACCCAAATACAATAATACTTCCATGCAAATGATACAGGAAAATATGAAGAGCACCACAGCAACTCCTAAGGGGACAATTCATGAGTAGAGCAACAACTAACCTCCTCTTTTGGAGCCATGTTTGTTGCTGAGATTGCTGGCGTGATAGGTTTCTATGGTAGAATTGGAACTATGGAAGGGAAGAAAGAAACAAGAGCTTATTAATTATCAGAACAGACAAATCTAAAACACTGACAGAATAAATTAGTTGTAAAAAAAAAAAAAGATAGAATAAATGGCATACCTTCTGCTGTTCCATTGATAAATCGTCCATGCATTCAATCAAAAATTCAGCACTCCTCTCCAAAAAGGGATTGGTTGACAGTTGCAAACGGTCATAGTCACACTAATAGAGATAAGAATATAACAAAATTAGAAAATCCAAAAAAGGAAACATCATGGTAGATATACAGGTTGATATCAAATACACACAACCTTACCTGGGTAACAGGAGTATCATCTTCCAGGCCAGTCATAAAGGCACTGATAAGTGCAGAATTTGAGACTTTGATCTATAATTTCAAAAAACAAGTATAAAAACAGAGGAATTGCAAACCTGTTGAGCTGGTCAAAAAGAACTTATTGAATAAATGAATGGCCACATGTTTCCAGCTCAGAGTAAAACCAGAGCTTCAGACACTTACAGGGATTTCCTCAAAAATATCCACCCATGACAAGTTTTTCTCCCTCAACCTATTGCACAAGAAATGATTTTCTATGCTTAGATTAAATGGTTTAAACAATAAGCTACCATTCCAGTGGAAATTTTCTTACTTCTCTCCAGTGAAGTTGTTAGTTTTGTATAGCTCCATGAACGAATCAGAGAGCTTCAGAGCCTTGAATGCCAGAACACCCTGGCTTGATCTTGATGGATCATAAATGATACAAACACACCGTCTAATGTTTTCCTGCAATTGAGAAAAACATTGTATGACCATTGACACTTGGGAAATTAAACTGATATAAGTGAAAGAAACCTGAAGTAGGGAACCTGATAGTTCATAAATGTTTCAATTAATTCAACTGTTTGGAAAGACCCCATCAGCGTTGACTGGTACCTGAAATGGTCACAGAAGAATGTAAGAAACTGGATGCACATATATTAATATTCACACAGAAATGCACATATATTGTTAGCAAGAGTTGGTTAGGGTTAGGGGTATAAGTATAACAGATGGTGAGACACAATGTTCTTATCATGCATTATCCTTCCCAACTAAAGGAAGATCAAGGCTACCATCTTGATCTGGAATCTAAGAAAACAATGCACAATAGTCTGATCCAAAAACTATCCAGTGACATAGTAGCATCAGAAGAACATTGTGCATTGGAACAACAAAGGAGAGACATAAAATCTTTCTAGCAAATAGCAAGGTGATCAAAAATACAAACAATTGAAAATCAGAAGAATCAAAAAGACAAATCATTCTTCCCAACTAAGCTAGCTGACATACAAGAAGACTAAGAATGAAACTAACCATCCAACTGTGTTGTTGTCAACGTTAACCTCTCTTAAGCATCTCATCATCTCAAGCTGGTAATTGGCACCATCTGCCTCAACCTCTTCATCTTCCTCTCTGATCTGAAAATAAAGTGCGAAAAATTAGGAGAGAGTAGCTATCAAGGAAACACAAGGCAAGCATAGCAAAATCCAATAAACTAGTTTTGGTGACCCTTTTCCCATTAACCCCAGCAGCTATGAGCATGCTCCAGCCTTACCGGGAAGGGGAAACAATTGGTTACTTCAAGAACGCTACCAACATCCAGCCCGAGAAGTTGGCCAGTGACTAGAGCTGGAGAAAACTCCTTGCAATGTTTGATAATCTTCAACATAACCTAAATCACCAAACGGTTCATCGAACAAAAAAAAACAACATTCATCACCAAACCCTAGAAATCGAATTCCGACTCTGCAAAAGAATTAAGAGCTCACGAGGTATAAAAGAAAACGCACCAATCCTTCGATCTGAACGACACGCAGAGGAGTGGCGACCTCCTCAGTTGCCGCTACCTGAAGGAACGACCTCGCTATTGGTGCTGCAGCCATGATTTCAAACTGCTCTCGCCGAAGGAAAAACGCTCAGAAACAAATTCAGAGAAACAATCTTTCTCCATGAAAAGACACAATGAAAAAAATCCAGGAAAGACAGGAATATAGAGACCAGAACTTGAGCTGACAAAACCACCATATGTGTGATAAAGAGACTGTACCTGAATGAGAATCTAAGCACGATGCGGAAACCAGAGAAGAGCTCCTTCCAAATGCTGAATTAGAGACGGCGGCGCACTTCCTAACCAGGGAACGAAAGGAAGAGAGGGCGGAAGGAGGGCTTATGAGATTTTGGACTAGAAAAAGACCGATAGAACCCTCTCTCTCTCCGGGTCAATATGGTTTTACTTTTGGGCTTTTGGCCCATATACGAAGGCCAAGCGCCGTCGTTCCCAAGGTAGGAACCGGTAAGTATTTACGAATTACGGGTAGTTTGTTTCATGTATCAAGTAGGGAATGCAATGGATGGGGTTGGGTTCAAATCTATGGGTATATTTATCAAAACAATTTGGGATAAATATTATTGGAATTGAAAACTCAAGCTCAACCCAACTCATTGGGTATCCGCGTGTTTATAAATACTCATGTGTTATGTGATAAAAAAAAGATGCATAATAACAAGTTCCTACCAAAATAAAAGTCTAACATCATTCTTCTCATATAAATTATCTAAACAAAAAATACCAATGTAAAGCATACAAGCAAACCACAAAGTATTCATACAAATTGTTCAACATTAAAGATAAACATCCATAAACAACATGATTAACTGAAGGGCTAATACCACTATGAAACCCGAACTATTAACTTTGTGCCATTTGTGTCCTAAAGTATTCGATATGACAATTGTGTCTTAAACTATTTCTCCGTTAGAGTTGACCGGCGTTGACCGTTAGTTTTTAACAAAATTCCAGTAAGCACTGTTGTGGCATCTGAAGTGGAATTTTATTATTATTTTCATTTATTTTTCCATAAAATATGAATAAAGTAACAAAAGGAAGTTAAAAGAAAAAAAATTCAGATCTATAGATCTGCATCTCTGGAGAGAAGACGGTGGCAGCGGTCGTGGATTTCCCCAGCCCGGAAACACCTCCAACGCCGGCAGCGGTCGCGGAGTTCTTTCTCCCTTTCCCTACCCTCACCCCACTCTTTCTCACTCTCCCTTCATCCCACGATCCATCCCACCCACCTTGTCGTTGCCATCATTGGGTCAAAGGGTTGAATACACCTCCACCGACGCATACACCTAGCTCCCCTGTTTTCGCTTAGTGAGATTCTTGGAATCCTCCTTGAGATAAAAAGAGAAACCGAACAGCAATCGAAATCCAGTCCAAGCTCCGTAAGTTCTCTCTCGCTGCATCGCATATGAAGCGAGGAATAATTATGTTCTCCATCGTCAGATCTGCAATGTTCTCTGTCTGAGATTGAATCACACAAAAAAAAAATCAATCGTCCCACCTACTTATTCCTCTGAATCCTTCACCGACGGCCGATTGCTAAAGTATCTCGACTGGTATCAGAAATCTAGAGAAGAGAGAGCGAGAGAGCGCCGACCCTAGATTCTTCCGCAACCGCTTCATCTCTACTCGTGCGGACACCGGCATCGATGTTGTCGAGCAAACATATTTTGGGTAAAGCAAAGCAGGAGAATCTATGATGGAAGAGTTGGGCCCGTCCATGGACTAGGTGGATCGTGCAAAGGCGATGTTACCGGTATCTGGTCGCCGCGTCGTCCCCTGCTTTTTCTTCGAGATCTAGGGATTTCGTCAAACTGGTCCATATCAAAGCACTCGCCACCACAAATGCCGACGCCGCCGGAAGCTGTTTGCCCTCTTCAAGATCTCTCTCTCAGCTGGTTGCTTCTCTCTCGCCGACGACGATGCTAGTTTTCCAATCTGGTTTCTTTCGTTTCGCGATTATGGCTAAAAAGGATTTGCCTTCTCTCGTTCTACTCACGATTATGTCGCTCTTCTTCGCTGTTTCCCCTGCTTTTTCTTCGAGTTCTAGGGATTTCCTTTACTTATTTTTTTATTTTAATTTTTAGAAATAATAATAATTAATTGAGTTTACATTTTTCTAATTTTTTAACAGTATATTATTTTTTTATTTAATTTTTAATTAAAATATGAGGTGTCATTGACGTGGCATATATCTACGTGGCTGCCACGTCAACAAAAGTCAACGTTGACTTTCGTTTGGTCAATCGTTATTTATAACGGTCAACGAAATCGTCAGGACATAAATGACACACAACTATCATACGTTGTGACACAATTGTCATATCGAATACTTTAGGACACAAATGGCACAAAGTTAATAGTTCGGGTTTCCCAGTGGTATTAGCCCTTAATTGAAAGCTTCATCCTCCTTCTCAGCTAAACTTTTTCACTCTCCACTTCATAATATCAACTTCATTCTAGACAAGTAGGAAAAACAAATTGGGCATGTCTTCACAAACATAAGGAAGATTAGTTGCTTAAGGAAGATTAGTATGGGGAATGCCCAATGGGAAGTGGATAAGGGATTCGTGGTTGAGGACGGGTACGGGTTGGAGCGAATTGGATATAGCTAAACCCAAACCCAACACAACCGCAAAATAGTAAACGGGTTTAAACCCAAATCCGACCCATAATCCATCAATACGAGTTTTGTCCGCGTTGACCGAGTTAAGTCGGGTAGGGTACTTGTAGGTTCAGGTTATGTTTCCGTCACTAGTATCAAGGATTTGGTACCAAAAATCAAACCATCAAGGATTAGGTCATACTCCTTTGTTTGCTTGGCCAAAAAATTTGGAGACAAATTTGTGCGGCCCACGAATTTAGGTTTCATTTTGGCTCCAAATCCATGGCCCACGGATTTACAAATCCCACATAACAACTTGGGATTTGGCTAATGATAGTATGTTTAAAGGCTCGTGCAAATTTGAAAAGGTAAGAATTATCCTGAATTTTCATGTTTTACAAAACTAAGGAATTGACTTGTGGAAATTGAACGAATTTCACGTTTGGATAGGGTTTAATTTTGTGAGAATTGATGATGAGGAATTTGGTGAAAATAAAAAAATGCCCTCTTTTGTTTATATACATACCTCTCCTAAGGTTGTTGTTGTGTTCTACTAACTACTAATTGCTGCTAACTTTGTACTAACTGATGCTATCTAGCTATTAATTGCCGCTACTAATTAATAATATTGCTAATTATCAATTAGTGTGTTCAACATAATAAAAGTTCTAACAACCTAATTATAGCTACTGCTAACTACAACCAGAACAAAAGTTTGACGGAACAGCCTAAAAGCAATGACAATCAAGGAAGAGGTATGACAGTTACATGCTTGAATTGGGCTACAACATAAGTCCTTATGATTATTGTTTATATCACAACAAGGCACAAGATGGTTTGATGATATATTTGGTTATGTATGTGGAGGATGTGCTCATAACTACGAGGTCGAAGTCTGATATCCAAAGTTAAAAAGGGGCTTTTCAATGGTGAGTTTGAGATGAGGAATTTGGAAACTGCTCAAAAGATTTTGGGTATGGAGATTTACAGGGATAGAGAGAAGAAGAACTCTTCTTGTCACAGAAGAGCTACATCCAGAAGATATTGTCCAGTTTTGGCATGTCTTCAGCAAAACCCTTGAATACTTCTAGTGCTTCATTTGTTCATCTATCCTAAGTTTATGCACGACAACTAGAGGCTGAGAAGGAGTACATGTTGAGAGTCCATATGCTAGTGCAGTAGGTAGTTTGATGTACGTTATGCTCTGCACTAGACATAATTTTGCACATGGTGTTAGTGTTTTCAGCAGTTCATGATACAACCTGGGAAGAAACATTGGCAGGTCGTGAAAATGATCTTTCGGTACCTGAATGGTACCTCTGATGTGGGGATTAGCTTCAGAAGTGATACAGAGTGCTTAGTATCTGGCTATTCAAATTTTGACTATGTTGGAGATGTTGACATGAGGAGATCGATGGCTGGTTATGTATTCACTCTTGAGAGTTAGGTGGTGAGCTGGAAAGCAACTATGCAGTCGACAGTGACATTGTCTAATAATGAAGCAGAGTACATGGCATTGATAGAAGCTTCTAAGGAGGGAATATGGTTGAAGGGGTTGGTTGGTGATCTGGGTCTACATCATGATCAGGCAGTGGTTATTGTGATAGTTTGACTCCAATATGCCTGGCCAAGGATCAAGTACATCATGAGAGGACTAAGCACATCGATGTGAGGTATCATTTTTTGAGGACAAAGAAGAGGATTAAGGTGAAGAAGATTGGCACCACGGACAATCCTGTTGACATGTTCACGAAGCCGGTTCCACATGGCTAGTTTCAACATTGCTTAGGGGCATTAATGGCGGGGGAGAGAGAAGGATCTAAGTACATAAGAGATTTTAGACGAAGAGGATTCAAGTCAAGGTGGAGATTTGTTGATGTGACTTGAATCGAACAATCTGTCTATGACTAGAAGTCACATGGGTCTTGCTGTATGGGCCGATACACGTTTAGGTTGTTGTTCTGGGCCTGGTTTGTAACCATTTTCCTTTATCATATTCGATTAGGATTAGACCACATGGAAAATTCTCATCAGCCTTCAAGAAGGCGCGCCTAGGCTCAATTAGGCGTTAGGCGGTGGAGGATCGCCTTGACTTTGCCATATGCGTTGTAAAAGGCGCTGGTAGTGCTTAATAGGTATGAATAACGCCTAATAGGTGCCTAGTTGGAGAGAAGGTGTTCCAAGGTGAGCATAGGCGGTCAAAGCCTAATACGTTTCGTTTTGGCTTTTTGGATCCTCTCTATTCCTCTAACGTGAATTGTTACTTGCCACTTGCCCTAGAGAATTAGAAACACGCGAAGTCGGGAACATAGGGAGGAGAAATGAGAAGTTGGTGCTCTACTCTCGCCCCATCTGCTGCTCCACTATCACCGCTCCACCGCAGCAGGAGAAAGTTGTCAATCGAGCTTCGTATCCCTCGCTGCTCCTCCCGTCTGTCCACTCCGCCATCACAGGGAGAATCAACTGGTGAACCCCGTCGAGTGCTACTCTCGCCTTCGCACTGCTCCGCCGCTATAGTGGGAAATCGTCACTCGAAACTTGTTAGTTACTGCTCCTTCCTTCTCCTAGGTCCGTCGCACAAGCTTTTTGCCTCTGTAAGTACTACTTAGAAGGTTATTGGTTTTTGTTTCCGATACTGGAAGATGATTCATCGCCCTTTTGGATTTGTTGAGTTGCGTCCCCTGTTCCTGAATTGCAAACCAATCCAAGTTGTGTCCTTGCCTCGGTTGACTGATTGTGTCCCCTGTTTCAATTAATTTTTTTTTTATAATGGGGTGGAGTGGTGCGAAGGCGAGAACTATCCCTCTATAATTTATCTCCCTTTTTGATAATGATTCATCACTGTTTACACTTACTATGAGGGTGATTGAGTATTATTTACACTTACTGCGTCGTTAAAGTTCCTTTTAAGCTTTTACCTATTTGTTAAGTTTGATTCTTTAGGTATATATGTATATGGTTGTTTATGCAAAGAGTGATGAACCATTACATATAGATCAATATATGTATTGAATTTGAATGATCTCTTTTCTCATTTAGGACAGGTTGTGATTCTACACTTTTATCTCTAGAATGGAAGATGCATGTGGATCAGCGAGAGGAGTGTAAAATGAAGAGAATGTCAATATTTTTAAGAGGAAGTTTGGTGATATAGGTTAGCAATATGAAAGATTGGTGGATCCCACCAACAAGGAGAAAGTGCAGTGCAATTTCTGTGGTCAATCATCCTGCCGGCGCTACCCTCATTCACGGTTGTCGTCATCAGGAGGGCCGATGTTCATTTCGCATTCCAACTCCGCCTCTGCAGCCGTCGGTGCCATTAGCACCCTCAACATCATCCTACCGATTTTATGTTTGGCTGGAGTTTCTTTATCATTTAGAATCCATCCTGCAACTGGTTTGACATCACCGGTCAATTCCACAGGGTCGTCTGCTTGTCGTTCTGCCTTGGACCTTGGTTTCTTATCGACAGATACTAATGAAGTTTACATGCCATTTGGTGTTGATGTCGTCGTTAATCATCAAAGCTGGGTTTCTGTCATTTTGTTGGAGTTTTGTCACAAGCGTCCATTTACTTGATCCATCATCCAGTTTTCTTTTAGTGGTGTCACCATATATCTCTCTAGTAGGGATTTTTTTTAGATGGGGTTCTTTAAGTTTGAGGTCTTGGAGGATGCACTATTTTGAGTTGGCAGTCGCTATAAAGATGGTTTTGAAGTCATCGTCAGTTCAAAGAAGGTGTCCCAATGTTTGGTCAAGCAAAATTCTCACCAACATTCATCAAGTAATAACGGTAGAGACACTCTCGACCCAATTATAGGTCGTCCCTTCATTAGTCGGTGTTGGAGATAAATGAAAAATTTCTTAAGTTATGAAGCGAGAAAGTCATTCAAGAAGCGATCGTCCCCTCGACGTTCATCATCAGGTAATTTTCAGTTTTCACCATTTTAACTTTCAAGTTGGGCATTCACGTCGTTCATGCTCCAGCTTGAGGGAGAGAATAGGGAGTCAACATATGTCGATCGCCTAGCTCAGTCATCAAGTCGACCGCAATGTACCAGCGTGAGTTCATGTCGTTCAAGAGACGCAGTCAACCATCTCCACCATATCATTTGGATAGACGCAGTCAACTGTCTCCGTCTAGCCGTTCAAGAAGACGCAGTCAACCGTCTCCATCATGTCGTTCAGATAGTCAACCGTCTCCGTCAGACCGTCATGACGGTCAAGAAGACGCAGTCAATCATCTTCATTAGGTTGTTGGTAGAGAGAGTCAGTCATCTCCTAGTCAATAGCTCGTCCAAGATTTCATTCATCTTGTGTTTTGTTGTACAAGCTTGTCATGCTTGTTCTTCACATTTCCTTTTTCAAGCTCGACATTCTTGTCATACATGTCTTCGCTTGAGGGGGAGTGTTGTAGTTATTTAAACCGTGTGAGTTTTGGGTCTTGTTGGGCCTTGTCCGAGTTGTAGTAGGTATGGATAATTGGTCGTACTCAGCTCTTCTCGTTATGGTTTTAACCTTAAGTCTTTCTCTATATAAGGCTTAGCTATGGTCATCGTGGATTAGTCCTGTTCACGTCGAACAGGGATACCACGTAAAAATCTTATGTCTCTTGTTCTTTTCAATTCCACATCATCAGATTATACAATTTAGCTTATGGTGGAGTGAACTCTCGCAACGACACGCAGAAGGATGCAGTCCGTTTTACGCGTATGTTGGTCCAAGCGAAACTAGTTAGATTAATTTAATCTAATTCATTTAAGTAAGTACTCTACTCATGCCTTTTATTGAAATTGTGGTTATTTTTTGAATTCATTTCTTTCAAATTCGAGTAAGTCATTACCAATTTTACTTTGTAGTGGTAAGGAATTTTGCAAAACAAAAGTCAACTTTGTCATCCTACCAAAACTTTGTCATCCTAAACTTCGTAGTTTCTTCTTCCTTTTCTCATCTTTTTCTCGGGGACTCTGCCTCTAGTTCCTCTGCTTTGCGCTGCACGGCGGCCAAAAGGGAAGGAAAAAAGGGAAGATGATCATCAAAAGTACAGCTGATCTCGTGAAAGACGAGCTCCCAATCGAGCAGGAAGCGATAGTGATTCCAGAGGACGGAGGAGCTGTCTCCGGTCTGGTACTTGTGGACATCATCAACGGATTCTGCACCGTTGGAGCCGGGAATTTGGTGAACAATCTCTTTCTCTTAATACATAGATGTAAGTGAAAATTTTGCTGGGCAAGTGTTTAAAAGAGAATAATGATTATTACCCTACCCTGTTTTTTAAAGGCTCCAACGGAGCCGAATACGCAGATCACCGAAATGATTAAGGAATCAGAGAGGATGGCAAGGCTATTCTGTGAGAAGAAGCTCCCTGTTATGGTTTTCCTTGATTCCCATCACCCTGGAAAGCCTGAAAACCCATACCCTCCTCACTGTCTTGTGGGCACCCCTGAATCCAACTTGGTTCCTGGTACAAATTAAACAAATTAGTATTGTTCTTCCCCAATCGATGTCTCTTTGCTGCAACTTCTCTGCCTGAAAGTATGGATCTTTTCCTTCGCTGCAGCTTTAGAGTGGCTTGAGAAGGAACCAAACGTGACAATCAGAAGGAAGGACTGCTTCGATGGGTTCTTGGGATCAATACAGGAAGATGGTTCCAACGTTTTTGTCGACTGGGTTGCCAAGAATGCCATCACAACTGTAAAAAAATTATCGATCTTTCACCTCTATGAATAGATATAGAATAGTATCCGCTAATCGAACCAATTCGTTTGAGCCGTTAGTCTCATTACTGTTGCTATTCACACGAATGAAATGCGACACAGATAGTGGTGGCTGGGGTGTGCACGGACATATGCGTGCTGGACTTCGTCTGCTCGACGCTATCAGCCAGAAACCTGGGATTTCTGAAACCTCTGGAGAATGTGGTAGTGTGTTCGAATGCCTGTGCTACTTTTGATGTCCCTCTCCATGCTTCAAAGACGGCCAAGGGTGCTATGGCTCATCCTCAGGTAACTTTTTACGCCCGTTTTTTAGCCGATCACTTCAGTAGAACCTAATATTGTACGATGTTCAATGAGACCATGACGACTGTATATGTATGGGCAGGAGCTTATGCACCATGTAGGGCTATACATGGCGAAGGAAAGAGGTGCCGTCATAGCAAGCGAGGTGAGGTTTGCATCCAACAATAATATGGGGCGACTCAATGTGTGAAGAACCAGCCTTACCTACTTGATACGTGGAGTGGAGTTGGCTCTCCCTACAGATGGGAGTTTATGCTCTGTTTCATACAGCTGAAGTTTGGTTTCCGGCAGTCCTAGTAGATATTGTCCCTACTACAAGTATTTTGATCGAACTTTACTTTCCAATGGCGCACCGTTGTTATACGACTACTACTGCTACCTAGTTGGCCACTCTACATGGCGAAACGATATTTTTCCATGATGGAATGTAAACTTAAGTACTTGACTTTTATATATTTCATGCAACTTACTTGGATATATATGTGTCTAGTAAATAAACCGTTTTTATACTACTGTTACTTAGTTCTGCCACGTGAAAAGAAAAAAAAAATCTATAAATTATTAAAATTTCAAGCAAATAAACTGAAACAAAAAGCATTAAAATACATATAAGTTGTTGCTTGAATTTTGCCGAGGTGCAGTTTATTTCGACATGGGGTTGTGTACCGTACGCCTGTTGAGTTTTGCGATTTAGACAATGAATTGATTGGAGTTTGGGGCATAATGTTATACCCTAACCCCTAATGTGTCAATCCCAATCCCCAATTCACTAACCTAAACCATAAGATTCATTTAATCTTGAAATGAAAATCAACGATGCTGATTCATTGAAATTATCGTTGATTATTAAACGAATTTTTCAATTTGGGTTAGAAAATTAGGAACTGGGGTTCACCCATTAGAGGTTAGGATATAGTATCATGCCCCAAACTCCGATTAATTCATGATCTAAATACCAAAACTCAATGGGGCATACAGTAGGTCAGCATACGCTCGGGCATATGCTAGCCTGAACCATATACATATAGGCTAAATTACACGTTTGGTCACTCAAATTATACAAATCTTTCACGTTTGCCACCCGAATTACTTTTCTTTCTTACTAGCCACTAACTTTACGAATCGTTTCACGGTTGGTCACCAGCCGTTACACTCCTTTAAGTTTGTCCTACGTTGCAGTCAACTATAAAGTTTGACCCTTAACTAGATGACGTGGAAATTAAAAAAAAAAAATTTCTTTCCACCTCATCATTGCACTTATTTTGTCTATATAATTTATCATATTAATAATTTAATAAAATTTAATAAATTACAAAAATGGGATGACGACGGCGGTGGAGAAGGGAGATTCTATGGCGGTGATGACGACGCCTTATGGAGGCTTTCCTTCGGGGACGAATTCCAAGCTTATGGTGACAAGAAGTACGTCTCAGACGACAACAACGACAAGTTTCCGCCGTCGAGTTGCCAGAGCTACTGCACTAAATCAAACAGAGTAGGAACGAGAACATGGGAGTAGGAAGTTGGGAATTTCGCGTTTTTGCCGGCCGAGGGTACGAGAGAGACGGCTGTGGAAATCAGGATTCCAAGGCTGAGATTGGCGAGCACAGAGAAGAAAGCGAGGAGATCGAATTCGAAACGACAACTGGGCTCAGAAGAAGTTGTTGAAGCGAAGAAAAAACAGGGGAGGAATGCAGAGGCAGAGAGCCCAGAATTCAAGAAGCAGGCGGTGGTTTCAGAATTAGAAGGCGCCGCGTGGGATTCATCCACAAAGGCGGGAAATTTTGAGCTTGCGGCGGAGATTCTCTCGTCGGTCGAGTGGGGCAAAGTGAAAGATACGAGGAAGTCTCTGCACATAAGCGGCGAGCCGATGCAGAGAAAACAGAGCAAGCAAGCTGCATGGAAAGCCAGAGTTGGTTCGCCGAGGACGCCATCCAAGGCCGAACCTTGCAAAATCAGAGCAATTGAAGAGATGAAGATGAGCATTTGGATTTGCCCATTTTTGTAATTTATTAAATTTTATTAAATTATTAATATGATAAATTATATAGACAAAATAAGTGCAATGATGAGGTGGAAAGAAAATTTTATTTTTTTTAATTTCCTCGTCATCTAGTTAACGGTCAAACTTTATAGTTGACTGCCACGTAGGACAAACTTAACGGAGTGTAACGGCCGGTGACCAACCGTGAAACGATTCGTAAAGTTAGTGGCGAATAAGAAAGAAAAGTAATTCGGGTGGCAAACGTGAAATATTTGTATAATTTGAGTGACCAAACGTGTAATTTAGCCTATATATATTGTAAATTTCATAAACATTTTCCGAGATAAGGTAAATAGGTTATTCATTATAAGCTAACAAATTTGTAATATTTTGTACTTTTAAATTGTACACATGAAAAGAAACAGGGTGAACCATAGCTTGTGGTAAATCTACGTCTAAAATTTAAGTTGAAGAATGCATTAGACTAGCGAGCCTATATAAAAAGAATATTGTAAAATATCCCAATTTCCTCCAAATATCCGAACACTTAGAAAGTAGTTACATGAATTCGGTAGAGTATCTACAGGTTGCACAAATCAAAATCCATACCTAACCTAAAAAAGTGAGCTCTACAAAAGAAACCATCACACAACCTTACCATTAATTTAAGCAGTAAATAACGGTACATAAACCAATCTAAATATAATGGGGATTTAACAACTTATGAATGACATCTAAAACTCAACATCCCAAACACTTTGTAATGTCAAAAGTAAAGCTTGCAAAAAAATACATACAATAAACCAAACTACGACACCATGTAACAAATAGAGAAACCCAACCCTTCAAATCAAAGTGCGGCGGCCATGACTTCATCCACTAGCGCCACGTATAGCTCCTCTGGAAACTTTTAAGACCAGCACCAGCAGGAGCACATCGGTTTTTATAGTCATTTGGCAAAGGAATGAGATTGTCGATGCATGTCCAGAAGCAGAAAGGCAGCATAGAACCATCGTTCCTAACAACGAAGTAGGCCGGATAGCTCCCCACTGTGGGCCTCCGAATTTGTACTGATTGGAGACCCCCTCCCGAACCAACCTTCTTCTCCCACTCTGGATCGCCCTTCTTCAGCAAAGCCAACACTACCGTTTGAATAACCTACATACACAAAACCAAAAAAATTAATCCAGTTGATGGCTCCAATATGTAGAACATGCAATAAAGGCAGGGATAGGAAAATATCATAGAGCACAAATACCGGGTCGGTGATAGGAGATTCATATGGACAAAATTGATTCAATCTTCCGAAATATGAAAACATTTGTGTGGAACTCTGAAATTTCAGCCAACCCAAGGTGACACCACCTTCCCCATCTTCTTCATGATGACAGCTACAAGGACCAACGCATTGTTCTTGAAATTTCTCTGTCAAGGGAAAGATATGATCAACACATTTGATGAAGCAGAAATCCTCCATAGAACCATCTCCCCTAACAAAGTAGAAGCTTCGCAGATCACTATCGTATGCTGGATGGATTCGAACTTGAAATGATTCGACGCCAGAAGAACCAATCTTTTTTTCCGACTCTGGATCACCCTTCTTCAATAACTCCAGTAACATCAGGTGGGCATGCTTCTACAATCACACCCACAAGCAATAAATGACATGCAATCTATGTTTAAATACAGATCAAAACAAAAGTAATGGGCATGAATGAATAAACGCATTACCTCGACGAGAGTCTGATTAAGTGGGGACCTCATAAGCAACGAGTAAAAGTATCTATACATATGCGTGGAGTAATAGAATTTCTTCGAACCCAAGATGACGGTGTTGAGCCTTCCCATCCTCTCCTCCTCATCTAGCCTAGCATTTAGTTCTCGTGTAAGCCTTTCACGTTCCTCTGCCACTCTATCAGCATGCAAACGACCCATGCCTCCTGCTATATGACATGCACAAACAGCAACAACACCACCACCTTGATCTTTCAAATCCTCGGGTAATGGAAGGATGTTGTTTACACAGGTCCTGAAGCAGAAATCTGCGGTCGAATCATCTTTCCTAACGATAAAGAAGGTGCGGAAGTGGCTGCACATCGTGTCGTTTCGGACTCGAAATGAATCGACCCCACAACCAATCATTTTATGTGGCTCGGGATGACCCTTCTTCACCAAGTCCAGCAAGCTCGGCACGATCCTCTGCCAAAAGAATGTGCAAGCAACTGAATCAGATAACTGTACACAAGTAATTTAATTTCACAGAGCAGAAGAATCAGAGCATTAACTAAAGCACCCCGTCCAGAAGATAACAAATAATCTAATCAAAATCTATCAATGGTATGAGCACGGTAGACTTTCACAGACAGCATTATTGAAGCCTTGGATATATAACTAAAGACCCACCATTCCCTTCCCGACTTGATAGAAAGAAAAACAAGCTAAGCATAACTGACAAAACAAAGGGAGTAAAGCACTAAACTACACTATACATTCCCACATCATCAATGCTCAAGCTTGTACACTCAGAATGATGTTCGAAGGAAGGCAACCTTGGCTGCAATTAAGCAAATAAACAAAGGCAGTAGCAGCAAATGAAGTGAAAAGAAAAAACGCAACCAACAAACACATCATGGTCCTATACTGAAGAGATGAGGATCATTCCTTGCAACACAAAGAATTAATCAGCAAAGGCGAGTGGAGATCTAGTTCCAGAAATCAAATCCTAAATTATTTATACATAAGCCATCGAACAACAGCAACCCCTAGCTAGCTCACGCGATGTATCTATCTGTCAAGCAATCATTATTATATTTATGAAGACAGAGGAACAATGGAATAGAATACCCACATTGACGACGGGGAAATTTAGATAACTACCGGTCATCCACCCTTTGACAGTTTGAAACATCTCACGGGAAGTCGTGAATTCCATCGTACCCAAACGGACCACCCCCTCCGTTCCGGGGGCTCCGGCGTCCTTTTTCCGCTTCTCCTTCTTCCAGACATCATCGCTTCTTCCGGCGTCGCCGCTCTCTGCTTCCCCAGTTTCCTCCCTTGCTCGCTTTACAACTTCCTCTGGATTCCTTCCCCTCAAAAAAAAAGCTTCCTCTGGATTCCTTTCAATGGCCATATTGCGTGAGCCTAGAAAGAGAGACCGATAGGGAAGGAAGTTTGTGACAACCGTGTGTGGGAGGAGGTGAATTTAACTACTAACGGCGCATAGGGTAGGGGGTGTTCAAACGGTTTGGTTACCGTGGTAATCGTTTTAACCGGTACTATTTGGATAATTTGGTTTGGTTAATTTGGATAATTGGTTTGGTTTGGTTAAAGTTTTTAGCTTGTTTGGTTTAGGTGGTTTGGTTTGGTTTCAGACACTCCTAATCAGTCAAACCAAATTAACCAGTTAAGTAATTAGTCATATATCTAACATATATTATATACACATACTTAATACTTTATATAACCACTCAAGAGTTAACGTTCATCCCTTTAAGACTCATAAAATATAAAGCTCAATATTGCTCATATAGTGTATATTTGTATATGTAAAGTGTAGACCACAACATATGGACGCCTAATTTAGATAAATTTCATACATTATGATGGATAAAACTTGAAAGGAAGGTCATTTCCAGCCTATGATAATTGCTAAGAGACTAAGGTCGTTTGGATGGATCAATTGTAAAACGAGACAATTTGACCAATTGTTTCATTTTACAAAACGAGTCATTTAAAACAAGTCAATTCAGATTACCTGCCCCCACCCCAGACAATTGTAATTGGCTCAAAATGAGTGAATTCAGAATTCCCCAGCCCAAATTGCTTCATCCAAATTTTCTGCTGCCAAACGGATCAATCTAGCACAATTGACTCAAAACGAGACAATTGTGTCAGATTGATCCATTAGAATTCCTCATCCAAACGACCTCTAAGTCAATTTACTCAAACACAACAATTCATTAACCCATACCATTGTCATAAATTTTTGTTAGGTGAATACTTCTATACTAATCGTAAGATAATTGTCTTAGTTGCATGTATTTTTGTTAAGGGTCAACTATAACTACGTGTTGATTGTTATGTTTTATTCATTATATAAATTGTGAATTGTTGCATTAACCGAAAAATTTTCATCATCAATGATAATGTGATTTGATATTGGTTAATCTGGTTAACTAATTAACCAAATCGATTAAACTTTAGTTTGGTTAATTTGATTGTTGTATTAGTTTGGATGGTTTGGTTATGATATTGTATTCCATGGTTAATGAAATTTAGCCTTATTTGGTTTGGTTATAACCATGGTAACCATTTGAACACCCCTAGCAGAGAGGAAGAACGAGAAGAAGAATGTATAGGAGAGGAGAGGAATTGGCCAATTAGGGTTTCCGACTACACGTACGGAATCGTTGGCAATCACAGATTGTAAATTGTAAAATATTGAATTAGAGGAACGGGGAGATTTTATAGAGTCCAGATCTGGTGACTAAGGGGGTCCTTAGTCACTTGACTAAGCCCCCCACAGCCTTTGGATTGATTTGATGGTCCAGATAAATCAATTAATTATTATTAAATGAGAAGGGTAGTTTTGGCATTATCAATAAATTATTAACTTCTATTTTTTTATTTTATTTTATTTATTATTATTGAATTCTTTTTTTCCATCTGCAACACGTCTCTTCCCTTTCCCTTTTTTGCAATGTCCAGAGAGAGAGAGAAAGCCATGACGGAGGAGGAGGAGAGAGAAAGAGAAAGGCGGCGGCGCTACGCTGGAGGAGAGAAAGGCGATGCCAACGCCGGCGATGATGGAGATCTCGACGGGAACGACGACAACGGAGATCTCGACGGCGCCGACGGTGGAGAGAGGGAAAGGAGATCGCGACAGAGGCGGCAGGCTTGGAGAGAGAAAGAGCAGATCTAGCCGTCGTCGTCGAAAAACAGAGGAGAGAGAGAGATGATGGTGGAGGAGAGAGAGGCGACGGAGAGAGCGCGTCGGGACGGTGGAGGAGAGAGAGGCGGTGCGGCGATGGAGAGAGAGAGATGGAAACAACAGTAGAGAAAGTCAGCGGCGGCGGCAGTGGAAAGAGAGTCGACGGCGGCGACAACAGTGGAGAGAGAGGGAAGAACAATTATTTGTAATGCAAGTGTTGTCGGTTTGTATTGTTAGTATTTTTGTACATAATGTCAGTGTGATTTGTATGTTTTGTAAAAATGACAAATATGTTGGACAAAAATAACAAAGCTTACAAACATTACAAAACAACTCGACAAACATTACAAAATAACAAAACTTACAAACATTACAAAACAACTCGACAAACATTTCAAAATAACAAAGCTTACAAACATCACAAAACAACTCGACAAACATTACAAAACATACTAACAATACAAAATAACACTACTTACAAATACAAATCAGTAAACTTGTATTACAAATCAATGAATAGAAAGTGTACAAATCATAACATAAAGTATACAAACTAGACAACAAACATTACAATATATACAAAATAGTCATATAAACATTACAAACACAACAGACTGAAATAACAAAGTAGAATGATAAACGATACAAACCGAATTGGTATAAACAATACAAACTGAACTTATAAACATTACAATATAGGTTGACAATCATCACGAATTCAACACTGTTGCCGGAAAACTTCTCCACCGTCGCCGGAAAAGTTGACAAGAAAACCTCTCTCTCTCTCCCTCCCTCGAAACTCCATGGCAGGGGAGGGGGGAATATAATTCCCAAATTTCCCATCAGCTCTCTCTCTTTTGGGGAATTCCCCTGGAATAATGGCGCATGAGCTGCCTGGAATAATGCCGCATGAGCTGCCCGACAATTGCCCAGGGGAGCCACCGTCGACAATTAACAACCGGACGGAGACGGGAGGCGGCGCAAGGGGACGGGACTGGGTTAATTTTTTTATTCATTTTATAATTAAAAGTAAAAAATAAACATGCAATTACTACATTACCCTTCATTAAATTGAATTAATAGAAGCCCTTGGATTTAAATGAGGTTGAGTGGCTGAGATTCACTTAGTCACCTGATCTTGGCCTGATTTTATATATACAGTTAATAATAGACACATGTCCCAAAAAAAAATATGATACAAGTAAACTGTTTGATCAACTCGATTCGTAACTCGGCAGCTATTTGAATTGACTAAAATTTAGTGATTCGTAATTCGTTGGACCTATATCCCAATTGATCCGCAAATCGATCAACCTGTAAATCAACTGGTCTGCAACTCGATTAATCTTAACCCGATTAATACACAACTTGATTAACCCATAACTTAATAGATCCAAACTTGATTAAACCGTAACCGTCAATAATCCTATTCACAACTTCACTTAATTTACAAACACAAATATATGATAATAAAAAGGCAAAATATACTTGTATAGCCAAAACTTTCGCGTTTGTGCCAATAATAACCATTTTTTTAGAAATACCACTTATAGCCAGTTCCGTCCAATTCTTTAACAGTGTTTTTTTTTATAGAACAACCTGTATTATTTCATTAATGTGAAATATTACAGGAATCAAGGATAAGTTGGTCCACCAGGAAAATTGGTGGCCTAGAGGCCCAAAGTTCAGTTTCATCCCACCCACGTTGGATATGGGCCATAGTGTGGGCCGCCTTATTGCTTTCTCGGCCCTCAAACCGGATCTCCATCGACCCATCGAAATTGTCGATCATCTCTCGCACTTCAGCGCTCCCCACTCCTTCCTCCAACATCGACATCTCTTCCTTTTCAATTTGTTGCACAGCCCTGAGACAATCCGAATCCATTTCTCCAGGCACAAAACCCTTCTCCATCGCAATCTCTAATCCAAACTTTATAGCTTGCAACTCAGCTAATTCCGCTGGCCATTGAATTCTTGTTCTTCTAACCGCAGCACAACAAAAACCCTCATTTCTATCCCGAACCACAATCCCCAACCCGGTGCCAGCTCCGGCAAACGTTGCTGCGTCGACATTGATCTTGAAAGCGGCAATGTCTGGAGGTTTCCATCGAGCCACATGCCTGGGAGCCGTCTCCGATCCTTTTTGCTGATATTCCAGGTACTCATCCAACCAACGCTCCGCTTTTCCCATTATTTTGAATTCCTCCAGTTTCTTCTTGTTCCAACACTGACTGTTCCGTTCTCCCCATATGAACCAGAGGGCCGCCAGAAATAGGACTATCTGCTCGTCAGACTCGGTCTCGGTCTCCTGGAGAGCCACCATCCACTCTTCGCAGGTTAGATCCTTACCCTTCTGGAAACAAAGCTTTAAGGAACTAGGGCACCAAACTCTCCTAACCCAACTACAATCTTGAAAGAGATGGTTTTGTGTCTCCTCTTGTCCACAAAATGGACATTCATCGCACCCTTTAGTCGTTCTCTTAAGAATATTAGCTCCTGTTGGTATGATATTGCGAATCCATCTCCATGCAAACACTTTAACTTTAGGAGGGATTTGGAGCTTCCAAATTCGTTCCCAGTTAATAGGGGTGTAGATTTCTCCCATTTCTGCCTCTTTGCTAGCTCTCAACGCCTTATAAGTCGACTTCACAGAGTATAGACCAGATTTATCCCTTCCCCAGATTCTCTTGTCTTCTGCTGGTTGTCTCAATATTGGGATTCTCAAAATATTTTGTTTATCTTGAGGGAGAAAATGAGTTTGTAATAGAGCATGATTCCAGGTTCTCGTCTCTGTGTCCATAAGCTCATTCACTTATGTGTTTGAGACAAATAAGGAAACTGGCGATTGAACTCGATAGTTTAGGGAGGTAGGAACCCATTTGTCCTGCCAAATATCAATTTTGTTTCCATTTCCTACTCTCCATCGCAATCCTTCCTTCATGAATTCTTTAGCAGCTAGGATGCTCCTCCAAATATAGTTAGGGTTATACCCTCCTTCTGCTTCCAAGATGTCACAAGTCAGAAAATACTTGGCCTTCATCACTCTTGAGACTAAAGAAGTTGGATTTTGAATCATCTTCCACAACTGTTTTCCTAAAAGAGCAATATTAAAATCATGCAAATTCCTGAATCCAAGACCCCCTAGTTTCTTGGATCTACACAGCTCTTGCCAACTAACCCAATGAGTCCTGCATTCTGAGTCTTGTTGTCCCCACCAGAAGTTCGAAACGATACTCTGAATTTCTTGAGCTACTGATATAGGGATTAGGAAAACCTGCATTGCGTAAGTCATTTGTGCTTGGGCTACTGCGCCTTTATCAAGACCTCCTTCCCTCCAAAAGAAAGCAATTTCTATTTCCACAGCTTCACCTTCCTTCTGACCCTGTCAACAAGATAGCTGAAAACCTCCTTCCTCCTTCCAACTATAGTGGGTAGGCCGAGATATTTGGTATGAAAAGGTACCTTCATTCCAAGAATGGCAGCCAGTTCCTGCCTTTTTACCTCCTCCACATTAGGGCTGAAAGAAATTTTGGATTTCTCAAGATTCACCTTCTGTCCAGATTCCTGTTCATACAGGGTCAGGATATGTCTCAATTGTATACATTCTGGAGTCATGGATTTTGTAAACAGAACACTGTCATATGCCAAGAGTAGATGAGAGATCGTAGGAGCTCCTCTTTTAACTTGTATTCCTGCTATCCTCTTGTCTCTCTCAGCCTTCGAAATTAGAGTAGATAACCCCTCCGCAATGAATAAGAATAAGTAAGGGGATATTGGATCTCCTTGTCTCAACCCTCGAGTAGGAAAAAAGGTCTATGTTTAAAAGCCATTAACCATAATCGAGTTGGAAACAATCTTAACACAAGCCATAATCATCGCCACCCATCTGTCATTGAACCCCAATTTAAGCATAATAAACTCTAGAAAGTCCCATTCCACCCTATCATAAGCTTTTGAGATGTCCAATTTGGCTGACATAAAGCCTTTCTTCCCTTTTATCTTGCCTTTCATTGAGTGGAAGCACTCAGTAGCCACCATAACATTATCCGTGATTAACCTCCCAGGAACAAAAGCACTCTGAAACTCATTAATCACTTTGGCCAAAATTTGCGTGAGTCGATTAGCCAGGACCTTAGATAAAATCTTGTAAAGTACCCTGCATAGGCTGATAGGTCTATAATCCCCCGGGCTCAGTGGCAATTTTTTTCTTGGTAATTATGAAGCTCATTTGTGACATCTGGTCCCACAATATCCCAATTCTTCTGAAAAAAGAGAGCTGACATTCCATCCACCCCTGGTGCCTTGTGAGGTCCCATTTTCTTTAATGTTGTCCAGATTTCCTCATTCGTGAAGGGTTTTAGGAGTTCCTCATTCAATTCTGTAGTGACTTTGCATGGGACTGCTTCCAACATATGACTTATAGAGAATCGGTCACCTGTAGTGAAAATAGATTTAAAGTGGTTAGTTAAAACATTGGTCACTGCACTATGACCCTCCCTTATTACTCCTGTCTTATCCATTAGCTTGCTTATAGTGTTTCTGTTCCTTCTATCAGACGCCTTCCTGTGAAAGAAGTTTGTGTTTTTATCCCCTCCCTAAAGCCAATCTGCTATGGAACGTTGCTTCCATATCAACTCTTCTTGCATCATAATCTCATTAAGCTCCTTCTCAATAGCCTTTCTCTGTAAAATTATTGCTGCATTCTTTTTTCTTTTTTTCCAGTAGCTCCAGGGCCTTTTCTGCTTTAAACTTTCTTGTTCGAAGATCTCCAAAGGTTTCCTTGCTCCACTGAAGGACACGTTTTCGCAATTTGCAATCTTATCTATGACAGAAGCCCCCTAACCTTAAGACCATCCATCCATGATAATTTGCTTGCAGTCCTCATGCTTTTGCCAGAATGGCTCAAAATCAAAATTCCAGCCCCACTTAATGTTGTTGTGAACCAATTGAGTTTGCAGTACAATGGGTGAATGATCTGAACCACACCTTTTGAGGTTATACACTCTGGCATAAGGGTAAAGGGATTGCCAAGAGCTTGTTGCTACCATTCTGTCCAGCCTCTCTTCTAGGTAGGTGTCATCAGAGTGGTTATTATCCCACGTAAAAGTTTTTCCATAATAGCCAATATCTTCTAGGTCACAATCTTCTAAAGCATCGTTGAACATATCCATCTCCTGAGCATTAGCCAAATTAAGGCCATTTTTCTCTTCATAGCTCTGTATTAAATTGAAATCACCACACACTGACCAATGTAGGTCTGTCATATCTCTGAGCTCCCTGAGTAATTCACAAGTTTGGAATTTATTGTCTTGTTCAGGCCACCCATAAATCCCTGTCAGCCTCCATTGTGTGCCTCCATCATCTACTAACACATCTATGTGATTCGTGGATTTTGTTTTGACCACCACTTGAACATCTGATTGGCAGACCATCAGTAGGCCCCCTGCCCTTCCTGTCGATCCAACTCCCCTTCCCTTCTCCCAGCCCAGCTCTTTAATTGCTTCCTCCCATTCTTTTTCCTTCTTCTTCGTTTCCATGAGAAAAGCAATCTTGGGGTTTTGACGACGGAGCAACTGCCCCACTTTCCTAATTGCCAGGGGATTCACCAACCCCCGACAATTATAGCTCAAAACATTCATTGAGCTGGGCGGCCCTGCTGCTTGGCAGGGTCCGCCACTTCGCCATCCAATAAATTGTTAGAAAAAACGAGCTTTTGTTTCTTGCTAGGAGAGTCTTCAGAGATGGTGTCATTTATTAAATGTCCTCATTTCTGTGGAGTTAACTGCATATATGATGGTTGTTGTTTCGATACCATAGTATGAAAATCTTCTACTTTTGGTTGTTGAAAAGCATCTGCTTGTTTGAAGATAATTAAACTATTATCAAAATGCCATGGCCCTACTAGTAGCACTCTATCACGATCACCTTTGTTCATAAACTGGAAACCAAGGAGATGATCCCCTACTTCTGAGATCTGAAAATTTTGTTGCAGGTTCCAAGCTTTTGACAGCGCTATTTTCATTGATTTCAGGTTGGGTTTCTTGGGGGACACTACTCTACCATCAAGCCCTAGCAGGCTCACAGCTTGAACCATAGCTATATCAATGTCTTCGTCTTCTACCACCAGCGCATCATCATCCGCTAGCTTGATCATCTCGATTTGTGACTGAATACTCTACTCTATATCTTCTCGAGTCTGTGTTTTCGTTAATTCATCCATTGGGATAACGCTTTGTCCATTAGTATCACTATGAGGGGTGCCTTGCTCCATAGTGGAAAACACTCTACAGGACGCACACCAGAGGGGTAAACAAGAAAAAAGATCACTCCCTTACCCGCAATCACTTAAGGCAGATTAGGGTTTCAAAGACAAACGAGACCCCAATAGTTCAAGATAGGGACTACTGGGAAACTCTCTCTCTCAGGATTTTGTATTGCAGGAGGCAGATACCAATCCAAGGAACGAACACTTAAAAGCAGGCTAAAGGAAGCTGCTCTCTGAAAACTTTAAAGAGTACTACCGCCTTCAACCCTATAGGTTGAAAAACCTAAGAAAATCACCGGAACCCTAGCTCCGAGACTCTCGCTAGACGAGAGTAAAAATTGCTACTTAATTCTTTAACAGTGTTAGTATTAAGTCTTATTGTACAAACGGAGATGCTGACGTGACGAGCACTTCCGTTCAATTTTGTCCGTAAAAATCCACGTGGATTTAGAGAATAAAAAAAATATTTTGAGAGAGAAAAAATTAATGGGATAAAACAAACGGGGAAGCTCCACTAATCTATCGTCTTTTTTCCCAGAAACCCTACTCTTCTCGTCTCTCTGCTTTCCTCGTCTCCATCAGCGAACAACAAAAACCGACTATTCCTTTCTTCTTCCCAGAAACCCTTCTCCTCTCCTCTCATCTCTATCATCTTCTTTCTATCTTCAAAAACTACTAGACTGGAGAAGCTCCGTCGAAGGCAGTTGTGGGTCTTAAATATGGTCTCAATCAAAAGAGGAGAGAATTACCAGGGTTCGCCACCGATCTGAGTCTCGCCGTTGGGTCGCGAGTCGAATATGTATCCGGACCAAATCTCACCGCATGCTCCTCCTCTTGTATGAATTTGGTACCTATTTACCGACACGGAAGAAGAAACACAAAGCAAAAGCATCGAGGAAGACCCTTGGTCGATTTTGCCTGCAGTGCTACTCGGTTCCCAAACATCTGCCAGTCTTCCCAGGTCGATTTTACCGTGGCTCTCCAAAAATCCCCGACTTCGATGTGTTGAAAGTCGCCGCTTCCCTTGTTGGCTATCGCGCTTTGTTGGCTTCCCATGTTGATTTCCTTTTTCAATCTCTCAATCGACCCGATATTGGGGGATGTAAACGCGCTGGAAATTGGGAAGGTCGGATAAGTTGCTTCATTGCATTCCCAATCGTCGCCGGCCGGTTTCCTGAGATTTGGAAGCCATTTAAGAGATTTGGTGGAAGCTTGTTGGAACTTCAATCGGCGGCGGGTAGGAAAACCCCCAAAATTGAATTTGGGGAGAAGAAGCAAATTGGGGAAAAAGCATGAACTTCAATCGGCGGTGGTAGGAAAATCCCTAAAAATGAATTTGGGGAGAAGAAGCAAATGAGGGAAAGCATAAGGTCAAGTCGGGTGTTGAGGTGGATTTTTTTATTTTTTAAATTAATTTTATGACGTATAAATATTAAATAAAAATTAAAATATGACGTGTCTCTTACAGCTTATTTGGTGCTGATGTGTGTGCTGAGTTGGAGCCTAGTCAGCAAACTGTCAAAGAAGTTGACGGTGTTACTAACACCGTTAAAGTATCTAACGGATTTGGCTATATTTGTCCTATCACAATTACAAAATCTGGCTATAAGTGATATTTCTCCAAAATTGGCTATTATTGGCACAAACGCGAAAGTTTTGGCTATACAAGTGTATTTTGCCTAATAAAAAGGCAAAATACACGTGGATAGCCATAACTATTCACTTTTTGAAAAATAAACTAAAATAGCCATTCTGTTACAAACTTTAACGGAAACATCATGGATATTGATTGGACTAACGGTTTATGCTGACGTAGCAACTTTTCCTCTTGAATTTTCCAGGTTGGAAATATCTTTTTTTAATAATTAACTGAAAAAACAAAAAAAATAAGAATATAGGAAACTCAATAGCACAAACACAATGGATTAAAATGGAAGCAAATAAAAGTTTGTAACTAATTCAAGAAGGTGCTAGGCGCTATGCAAACGTGGGATCCCTGCTAGGGGTGGAAAATGGTGTAGTTTCAATTAATCGCACCGAATAACACGGTTTATCACAACTGAATAAGAGAAAAATCACCAACCACAACCGCACCTCAAATGGTTTGCAGTTAACAACTAACCCCAAATTGCGGTTTGCGGTTAACCGCAGTAGTCGAAGATGATGGAAACAAAAATCTAAAATATTGATTTGGTGGAGATGTTGACCTCAAAATGGGAAAACATAGTTGATTGGATTGGATTCGCGTTAAAGAGGGTTGGACCCATCACCCATCAACATGAAGCATTTCTTAAAGGATAGGGTCAAATATTCTATAGTTTATCTAATCTGCGGTTAGTTATACGGTTAGTTTGTTATTAGGTGAGGTTCACAGTTAGTACACAAACCACAAAATGACCAATTATGCTAACCGCGACCGAATAAGACCCCATTAAGCGGTTTGCGGTTAACCACTAACCGCGGTTATTCTGTGCGGTTTCGGTTAAACTGCAAAACCGCAATTGTTTTCCCATCCCTAATCCCTTCCTAGCATGTCTAATAGGTGCTTAGGTGTTCCAATGAAAATAGAGATTTTTTATAGAAATGACAATTTTGTAGCATGTTTTTACTTTAATTCCATTTGAAGTTGTTAATAACGTAGCTAGCCCTTAACAACAAGGTAAATATGTCATAATTTCAAGTGATAAGTTTATAGAAGTCATGCGGTTGTGGTTGCTCCGTAGTCGATGATGGTGAAGAGCAGGGCATAGTGTCAAGTCAAGTTAAGATGTGCAAGAACTGAAGAAGCCGTCATGTCGACTAGTGCACTTAAGCACGCGTCAGTTAGATTAATCACGTCTCATGCTGATTAATCGTGCTTAGCTTCCCTATATGGCATCTAGGGTTT